GCCGTGGGGATCCTGGCCTTGGCCTTCTAGTGTGGGCTTCAAGGAGCCTGGTGAAGTGCTTGGCCTTGAGGTTTCCAGGGTTCTAAGGAAGGAAGAGCACATAGAAGACTCGGGCATTAGGCGTCACTGCTGTTTGCCCGCAGGCATCCCATCCCTTTGCAGGCTTACCCGGGAGAGCGGCGTCGAGGGGGACGGGGCTCTGGAATGAGAGGAAGTGTGGTGGTGGTGGCGGCTTGAACCTGGTGGATTTGAACAGCGAGAGCGCGCCTGCCCTGCAGGAGGGTAGGGCCTCTGCAGGCGTTTGTGCTGTGCGCGCCGAGGCCCCCAGAGCGCCAGAGCGCCAGAGCGCGCTGCAGTTTCCTTCCTTTAGGGGATGCGGGGTTTCCTCCGGCATCCTCAGAGGAGGAAGTTTCTTTTAACTATGCCCGTCTGGAAGACCGGTCCTTATGACCCGCACGTCCAGTGGTACTGGCTTAGGTTTTAGGTTCTCTCGAACGCTTTTACCGAGGGCGTGTGCCAGTACTGTCCGTATCAGGGAACAGGGAGCCGAAATCTGTGCGTGCAGAGTGTGGTGAAAAGGCAGGGCAGCTTCTGCCGTCGAAACCGGGCGGGGACACCAGGTGGCGGTGGCTAGTTTTAGCGAACACACGGGATGGTTGTGCATTTTTCATCAGATGCTGCAGCAGCTTCCGTGGCCCTTTGCCGTGTCTGGAGAAATCGTGCCACTGGCCTTCCACTTGGCTCCTGGAGTGGCCTGGAGCCTCTGTACCCTGGGCCAAGGAGGGGACCAGAGACAGCTGGCCCAGCATCTTAGGTCCACAGAGACCTGCACTGGCCCCAGGCCCTGCTTTTGCTCGTTTTCCTTTTCCCTTGGCTTCCTGAGATTCACCACCACCTTAACCAAGACTGCTTTTTAGTCCCACCCTCCTGGCTAATGGGGTCGTGTGGAAGGGGCACCACGTAGGATTCTGGGTTCGGGTTGGAAGGCTGTGTTAGGTGGTTTGTAGGATTTAGTCTACCTTAAGTCAGGTAGCTGACCCTCTTGAGGGTCCCAACCCTGTAAAAATGACTCCCTCCCCCCAATACCGCCTTTTTAAAACAGACGCGTTGACTTGTGCTGAGCCAGCATTTGTGCCCAGGTCTGCCGGGTGCCCAGGGCTGGCGCCTTGTGTGTCACGGTATGGTCCTTGACGTCTGTCTGTTTGCAGAGGCTGGCTTCTTGCCACAACCTGTGTCGCGGTGGGGCCAGGGCTTCGGCTGGAGCTCTTGCATAGTGAGCCTTTAGCATCTGGAAGAAATCTATCCCAAGACCTGTGAGTCCCCGAATTTAGAAATATTGTGACATAACGTCCTTTAAAAGAGACAATAACCTAAAACCTTCACAGGATCCTAGACTCTGAAGGTTGCTTCCTGAGGACCTGCGCTCTGCTCCATGAGGAACTGCGGGGGGGGGGTGGGGGGGGCTGGGGAGGGAGTTTGGGGTTGCTTCCTGCAGCATCGAGGCCGGCAGGTCCTTCCTGTCATTCCCCAGAGACTCCAGTCTTGGGAGCTGTGTTGTGAGACCGGTGTGAGGATGGTTTTTCCCTTGTGTGGGAGGGACGGGGGCGGAGGGCGGGGGGTTATTTCCTGTTGTCTTAATCTGTTACCATTTCAAGGATGAGCTTGAAACAGAGTTGTTTCTAAAAGTTGGGTTTTAGTTTATGATGATCTTTCATCTTGATGAAATCTCTAAGAAAAGTTGTCTCTTCTCTGTAAATCAGTTACTTATTTTTAAAAGATTCAATGACCTAAAACATGAAACCTACCAAAATTTGCAGTGAAATTTGCAACTCATGTGTGAAATTGGCGACACTGAGCGCTCCTTTAATGGTGGTAATAAAGTGAGTTTCTGTGTCTGTGAGGAGGTAACGAAGTCAGCCGGCCTTTTGTTGTTTTGCTGGAACGGCTGACAGTTGAGGGATTGTCTGTGTGGCTTGCCTGATGTCCTCGTCCTGTGTGGCCCCATTGTTTGACTGGCCCGGGCTCTCCACGCCTCGCGCCTGGGGGGAGCTCGCTGCAGCCGAGGCCGGCCTCCTCCTCCTCCGCCCGGAGCAGAGGCTACTCCGCTGTGGGACGGGCGGCTCTCTGGGACCGGCCTTCGTGGCCTGGAGCGCCGGAGCCTGGCGGGCAAGTCACATGGGGTCCTGCAGCAGCCAGAGTGCGCGCAAGTCCAGGAGGGGGAGACAGGTGCTGGGGGCGCTGGGGGGGTGGGGGTGGGGGGGGCAAGCGTTTGCTGGAAGAGCCGAGTGTGACTGGGAGAGCTGGGGTGGGAGGGTCACAGGACTGGTCTTCAGCTCGCACCGGAAGACACGTTTGTAGCTGGTGCTTGTCATTAACCAGCTGAACTGCCTTGATGTCACTTTTTGGCAGAGGTTTCTTTGGCACTGTTTCTGGTACATTCTTATGGGAGGCTTTTATGTCTGCGTACTCTGCTCGATGCTGTGTTGGAGGAAATGCCATTTTGTTGTGCTCGCACGCGGGGGAGGTTTTCTCAGACGTGGTCCCCCCTCCTGTAAAGGTGCTCACGTTCTCAGCCGTGTGCTGCCGCTGCTTCGGAGTGTTCGGACTCCCGACGTGAACCTCTCACGTAGTTTTTGCTAGAACCGTGATGACTTTTCATCTCTGTCTGTGGCAGATTTTTAAATCTTTTGTGGTTCGCGGAATATCACAGTTGGCTAGCTTCACGGTACTTTAGAAGGACAAGGTCTGGGATAAAGTCAGGTTTTCTGCTGCAGTGGCTGGTGCCACAGTTGTTCTCTGTCCACCACTCCGTGGACATTTGTGCCCAGTGACCATTTCTTCGAAGGAAGGCATTGTAATCCTGGGATCAGCACCCAGATTTCCCCACAAAGGCCTGAGCTCCCGGAGCGCCGCCTCCCCCTCCTCAGCCTCCCCCCCACCTCCTGCGTGAATAGGCCCATTCAGGGGCGAAACCAGAGCCAGCGGCACAGGCAGGGCGGCGGCTTGTCGCACACAGCGTCGTGTGGAGGTTACTCACTCGGGTTTGCATGGACTCGTGAGGGACTGTGCGCTCCGGTCAGAGCACGCAGAAAGCACACTGACAGGTGGAGAACCCGTGCTGTACGTTGTGGGGTGGAAATCTAAATCGAGCTCAAGGACTCCTCTTGCCTGTTTAAGCACATATTATAATTACCGGCTCAGGGCGATGGCGGATGCTGTCCTTACGCTGCTACACAGCTTCCCGCACGGCTCAGGACGACGTGTTTTAGAAGACAAATCGTACATCGTGGTACCTGTAGTGGAGGCTCAGAAGACACATGTGACGTGATCTTCTGATGAAAGAAGGTGCTGGTCCGTGGACAGAGGGGCATGGCAGGTGGCTGGCGGGGGCTTTACGGTCCCTGCTTCCGTCAGGTCCCACTGTCTTCAGCCTGGCGGCCGGAGAGGCGGCAAGGGGGCTGCGCAGCCACAGATCGAGGTGCACATACCAGCTCCGCTCTTGGCTCGCTGCTTGGTTTTGGGGAATACTTACCCTCTCTGCTTGAATCTGCCTCTGGGAGAGGAATACTCCGTGTGAGGATCAGAGCTGCTGTGTGCAGAGCACCTGCCGGGCGCCGGGGGTGTGCTCGGCCTCGGTGAGGATGCTCCTGCCCGCCCTCTCGTCCGGGCGCCTTCCGCTCTTGGCAGTTACTGATGCAAAGAAGCTTATTTTTTATTATTTTTCATACACGCACACACACACACACACACACACACACACATTTGTATCGTTAGAGCTGGAGTCAGGGAGAGGGGCAGAGGGGTTGGTCGGAGTTGGGGGGGACTCCATGCTCAGCACAGAGCCACCTCATATGGGGCTCGATCCCACGACCCTGAGATCAAGAGCCAGAACCTCAACCGACAGCCATGCAGGCAACCTGAGGTGCATTTTTCAGTCCATGTGTTTTACATTTTTTAAATCTGTTTTTAGGAATTGTAAACTGGTTTTTACGCAATGTGCTATACTAACATAGGGTATCAGGAAACATTTTAAGGTTGATTCATCATTGTTCTATCTTTAAAGTAGTGGTTTCTTAAGGATTTTATACTGGTAGACCTTCAATATTTTATAAACGTGTATAAGATCTGAGACTGTCACTCTCTAACGAAATTGGTTTAGATTTGCTAGATGCAGTCTGAAGAGTAAACTGGATATTTTTGGTTGAAATACACTTTATGTGGGCTAAAATACCTGGATTTTAAGTGTATAGTTTGTTGAGTTTCAACAAGTGTATTGATCTATAACAACTACTCAAATTAAGATCTAGAACATGTCCATCACCTAGAAACTTCCACCCCTGTCCCCGTTGTCACTCCTCCCAATGTGTGCCCTCATAGATTGGTTTTGCCTGTTCTTGGACTTCCTATAAGTGGGACGTGCAGGGTGTCCTTTTCATGAACGGCTGGCCCCTTATGCACGACACAGCTTTGGAGATTGATCCATGTGTCCTTGCTGTTGTGACTACCAGTGGTTTCTTCTTGGCATTGAACAGATGGGGGCAGTACTTTTCTGATGATGGACTTGATTCCAGCCTCATTCTTAATTTTGTTTAAAGTTTATTTACTTTGAGATGGGGGCAGGGAGAGAGAGAGAGGAGGAGAGAGAGAATCCCAAGCAGGCTTCTTGCTTAGCACAGAGCCCGACACTCTTTGATCCCACGAACGGTGAGATAATGACCTGAGCCGAAATCAGGAGTCGGATGCTCAACTGACTGGGCCACCTTGGCACCCCCAGCCTCATTCTAGCTGTACCCGTGTCACGTGAGCATGGCAGTAAGATGAAGTCCATTATGGAGCCGTCATAGGAATTCATCATGTGGGTTTTCGTAGTTAAGTCACAGGAGGTGATGATATTAAGCACGCTAGTAACTAGAAGCAACATGTAATGTGAATAATGCTGACGAACTTCCCAGAGCTTGTAAGTTTTAAGGGCGAATAATGCCATTCATCATTTGTTGTAGGTGCTACAGAATATTTTGGAAACAGAAAATGAATATTCTAAAGAACTTCAGACTGTGCTTTCCACATATCTGCGGCCTTTGCAGACCAGTGAGAAGTAAGTCGGATGATAAATTGTATTAATTGCAATGTTGTCATCACCTTCACCTAGGCTGTTGGCTCAGGTTTTCAGAGAACGGAGGATGGAACAGAACCCACTGTATCAGTTTGCTTTAGAAGTAAGGGTTTTAGCAGGAGGAGGCTCGAATAGGGCGCTGGGCTGGGAGAGGACGGGGACACGGTACCTGATAGTCTCACTGTTATTTTTTTTTCTTGGTTCTAGGCTAAGTTCAACAAACATTTCATATTTAATGGGAAATCTAGAAGAGATCTGCTCTTTCCAGCAAATGCTTGTACAGTCTTTAGAAGAATGCACCAAGTAAGTACGACGCTAAAAATCAGCGAAGTTCAGATCAGTACAATGGGCAGGTAGAGAGTGTGCTTCAGTGTCATTCTAGAACTCGTGTTTCCAAAGGTGGAAACTCTTGTTTTGAATCTTTGGGTTCTCAGCTCTTCTAGTAGAAGTTGTGTTTTTGACATTGGTTTTTCTAGCCAGGGTCTTTGAAGGCGAGATCTCCTGACGAGAAAGGAGAGAGGCGTGCCATGGTGGGGGGGGGGGAGAGGGGCCCAAGGAGGAAGGGGCTCCATGCGTGTGTTGTCCTGGCCGGCGGGAGGCCGAGGAGCGGGGAGGCACTGCCCGCCCGGACTGGGCTTGGCGCTGTCTTTCCAGGGGTTTGGAGGGTGGGAGGCGTGTTCCCCCAGATGGACTGTTTTTCCTGTGTGACTAGTTTGTCCTCGGTGAGCATGAGACAGGAGAGGGTCAGGGTCAGTTTACGCACCTGAGTAACGTAGTTCACGGAGTGCCTGCCGGGTGCTGGAGGACTTGTAGTCCTGATGCGTGTGAGAACTTCTGTGTGACCTTTGATGTTTATTTGCCCGTGGACTTGATACAGCAGGGGGACGCTTGTTACCTCAGACTCTAGTTCTTTAGGTCACCAGAAGGACCAGGTAACTTTTTCTCTTGGAATCTGGTTGGTCTCTGGTTTGTCCTTCCTGTAGCTTCTTGTCTTTGTCAGTGTGGGAAGTAGGAGGGGTGCTGTGCCCTCCCCGGGCCCCAGGCTCACAGCTGGCTGAGCTTGGAGTAGGATCCAGGGTCCCTGTGGGCCCTTCCTCCCGGAAGGTGCACAGGGGAAGCGCAGGGGCAGTGCTGGCCTTCACTCACCCACGTTGTTTCCCCCTGGAGTGGTTTGCTGTGTGTGAGAGCCGTGCCTTAGGTGGCCGTGGAGAGGAGTTGGAGACTCGCAGCTTGCCTCCTGGTGAGTGGAGGTGATCTGCCGTCAGTCTGGGCTCTTTGCAGGAGGCCAGCCCTGGGAAGAAGTCGGTGTTCACCTCTGCTTTCCCCACCGGCAGTAGAGAAGGTGCACTAAAGGCATTCATGTTTTTGCAGCACGTTTGCAGCGCCTCTTCTGGGCCTCTCCTGAGGCTTGTGAAAGCACGGATCTCCTGTCCACACCGCAGATGTTCGGATCTGAACACTGAAGTTCAGGGAGGAGCATGAGCTGCGAGTCCTGTGCCCGGTTGGGTCAGGCTGTGTCAGCTGCTGACTCAGTAGGACTTAGCTGCCCTGTATGAGCAGCGGCCGCGTCTGCAAGAGGGAGAAGGCCTTTTGGTAGGAATAATGAGGCAGTAGTCGGAGGTAGAGCGCCTTACCTGGTGGGGCCCACCTGAGGGCTTGGCCTCCATGTTGGGGTTGCCGCGCCTGCCCGGTTAACGACCATGCTGCGTGTGCCTTTTTGCATCCACCGTTGGTGCTGATCATCCCCTCTCTGTTCTTCCTCTTCTTGAGAGCTTATGCCTTTTCCAGGCTCAGCAACTCTCCCAGCCTAGACTTGGGAAGAGGGGGGTCTATGGCTGTGCTCCATCTCCAGCTTTCAGCTGAAGGGAAAGCAGGCTGTGTGTGTGTGTGTGTGTGTGTGTGTGTGTGTCTGTGTGCACGCGTGTGTGCACATGTGTGCACGCCCGTCTTGATGCTACTTAAGTAGAAACCTCACCAACAACTTAATTATGAGAAATGTGTGCATTTCTCTCCCTGTCCGGGGGAGGGATATGGGGTTTTGGCTGTGCTGTGCACAGGTGGGTGGTGGCGGCTGGATGTGGGAGAGAAGGAAGGGGGTGAGTTTGATGCCTGCTAGCAGAGCAGCTTTCAGGGTGGGTGCTCTCCCTGCCGGACTGCCGTGTGAACACTTAGGTTCTGGGATTTGTAGATTTTGTTTTCATGGAGGTGGTCTACCAGGAGGTCTCGGATTTTGTGTTTGTTACTTGGCAGTTTTCTATCCATGAAATTTGGGATTATTTCCTTTGTCTTGTGTGTCTCCAGGCTGCCAGAAGCCCAGCAGAGAGTCGGAGGATGCTTTTTAAATCTGATGCCGCAGATGAAAGCCTTGTACCTTGCATACTGTGCCAACCACCCGTCTGCAGTGAACGTTCTCACGGAGCACAGGTGTGCCTGCCAGACACCCTTACCTGGAGGGAAGGGACCTCTTGGGGGGGTTCCCTCCATGTTGGCTCTTTTTGGCCACACGTTACAGGAAATACAGTGCTGATATTCACTTGTTTGTTCAGCGATTATAGTGCCTTAAAAGTATCTCTTAAGCTGAGTGCCTGAGAAGCATCGGTAAGGGGTCTCTGAGGTGCTGAGTACCATTTTTGGAGTAGAAAATAGTATTTTGAAAGTCTCCCTTCAGCTTGGAGCCCTTGGGACAGTGGATTGGAGGAGCTGGTAGGATTCTGGAATGGGGCTGCAAGCTAAATCCAGGATGCCAGAATCCTGTTTCTCCTAGTTTCTAAGAGTGGGAATATGGGAAGTGAAATTAGATAAGCTGCAAGAGAAAATGCTGATTGACAATTAGGGCCCATATACGTATTTACGTATATGCTAAGGTTTCCATTGTATGTGTGTATGTACGTGTATGCATGTATACATGTATATGTACATGTATGTAGTTTTTTCTATATATGGTAAAACCTTGGTGTGTGGGCATAATTCATTCAGGAAAAATGCTTGTAATCCAAAGCACTAGTATATCAAAATGAATTTTAAGAACCATTGACTCAGTGGATTGTGTGACATTGGGCATCCCGTACTACTTATTGTAAGACATCACTCCTTTATCAGGTTAAAATTGATTTAGAAACGTTGGCTTGTCTCACAGAACAAGTTACTCGCAATCCAAGGTTTTACTTGGTGTGTGTGTGTGTGTGTGTGTGTGTGTGTGTGTGTGTAAATATAAAATGCTTGGCAGAGAAAATGTTTTGGTAATACTGAGTGTGCTCTTCAAACTCTAAGTTATTCTATGCCCCAGAATTGCAAGACCATATCTCTAGAGCTTGCCCATCTAATGATGTAGCTATATAAATTTAGATTGAAATGAATTTAAGCAAAATTAAAAATTCAGTTCGACTAGCCACATTTCATGTACTCAGTAGTCACATGGGCCTGGCCTGAGAGCAGTGCATAGAATAAATTTATTATCCTAGGAACTTTGATTGCTTAACAATAGTCTGAACACAAATATGTGTGACCAAGTATAGTTTGGAATGAATTCTAGCCTCCTTGCAAGTCACCTGTCGCCAGCGCAGAACTGTGTCCCTGCACTCTACTTTGTACATGTTTGATACTCGGGGTGTGTTGCAGGAGCTCAGCTCATCTGAGAATACTCCTGTACTTTGGGTGTATTAGGTTAGAAGAATAAAACCTCTTCTAACTGTAAAAATAATAATAAAATTAGGGTTGGGTCTTACAGGTACAACCTTAAATTTGAGACCATTAGCTTCAGCTTTTCAACCTGAAACAAAGCAAGTGGAGCTGACATATTTCCTGCTGGCTTGGTGAGAAAAGGCCACATCTTTTCCCAAGAACCAGAAGGTTGTGGAATAGTGGCTCGGTCACTGGCCGGGGCTGCTCTGAGTACCGAGGTTCCATTTCTGCTTCTCAGGCATGAGCTTTGAGTAAGTGTGTTAGGAAAATTTTCACAGTGACTTTTGAAAACAGCAGTTAAAAATTTTTTTTAAACCATAAATGAAAAAAACTTTTAGTAGTGTAAAGGGTAGGTTATAGTAAATGTATATATATAAAATACTTTTTTTGATGTTAATTTTTGAGAGCGAGTAGGGGAGGGGCAGAGAGAGAGAGAGGGAGTCCCAGAATTTGAAGCAGGCTCCAGGCTCTGAGCTGTCAGCACAGAGCCCGGTGCAGGGCTCAAACTCACGAACTGTGAGATCGTGACCTGAGCTGAAGTCAGACGCCCAACCAGCTGAGCCACCCAGGCACCCCTAGTTAAGTATATATTTTTTAAGTTGACTTATATTTGAGAGAGAAATACAGTGCAAGTGGGGGGGGGGCAGGGAGAGAGGATCCTAAGCCGACTGCACTGTCAGGACTCCCGCTCATAACCATGAGATGATGACCTGAGCTGAAATCAAGAGTCGGGTGCTTAACTGACTGAGCCACCCGGGCGCCCCAGTTATAGTTAAATAGTTAATGAAGCAATTCAACTTAAAGACCCTTGGTAAGCAGACATGGCTGGACTATTTATAAACTGAGCTGAGGCTAAAGTGTAGCATCCTTTAGCATCCTGTGAGTGTGGCTGGGTTCTGTGGCAGTGGAGGGAGGGCCTCTGGCTTGTTTTGACCAGGTTTGAGTCCTGCCTCAGACTCAGCTGGTGAGCTGCGGGTAAGTCCCTTGCTTTCCCTGGGTTTTAGATTCCTCCTCGCAAAGTGCCTATTGGTACGGTTATTGTAGGTAGTAAGCAGAACGTGTGGGTCAGAACCGACTGAGGGAGGCGAGTGCATCTGTGTGAATGCTAATTGCGGGTCCCATCTGCGCCCCTGCCCCAGAGGACCCTGGGCGTTTGTTTCTCGGTGTGCTCACATACTGAGGGGTCTCCGTGTGCCCTCCAGTGAATATACATTGGGATATACGGTGTTAGTGGAAGCGAACCCCGAAGGACTGCGGCCCCCTGTCTGGTTAAGTATGCCTCCTCGCCATTGTGTATGTGGGGGGGGCTGCTGGGTGGGCGCACACCTTCCTGAAACCACGGCGCGTGTGTGCCCTTGCATGTTCCCCTACCTCCTCCTGGGAGTTAGATGGCCACAAAAGTTGAATGCAGGGATTACCTCTGTGTTTGTGCGAATCCCTCAGGAATTAGTGATGTGGCAGTGGAGGAGATCTGTAGAAAGCAAGCATGATGTTAGGGTGAAATTGTAAGTCTTTAAAAATTCTCATTCTCCCTCCTTTTTGGGGACTGTGAGTCAGACTGGGAGTATAGCCTGTGGGTTAGACAGTGTTGAGGCTGATTCTTTTTTTTTTTTTTTTTTTTAAATTTTTTTTTAATGTTTTATTTATTTCCAGGAGAGAGAGAGACAGCGTGAGCAGGGGAGGGTCAGAGAGAGAGGGAGTCACAGAATGAAACAGGCTCCAGGCTCTGAGCTGGCAGTCAGCACAGAGCCCGACGCGGGGCTCGAACCCACGAACCGCGAGATCATGACCTAAGCGAAAGTCGGACGCCCAACCGACTAAGCCACCCAGGCGTCCCTGTTGAGGCTGATTCTAAGTATCTTTCCCTGTGGAAGTGAGTTCTAAAGACACCGTTTAAAGGGATTCAGACTGTTAAGTTTCCAAAACCGTTCTGAAGGGAGACGCCTGCTCGTAGGTGCTGTGATGTTCATCCCTCTTGTGTGGTATAACTGCAGTGACCGCTGTGTCCCAGCTGGGTTTCGGTGCCGCCTGTGCCCACAGTGACGGGGCAGGCTGCGTGCCGCTGCCACATGGTGTGTCGCGGTGGGGGGATGGGGGGTGGGATCAAGGCCTACAGGCACCCGGCGTGGCAGGGTGTGCTGCCCGTGTGCCCTCCTGAGGTCTCTGGGCAGCGAGGGCCCCGTTCTGCCCGCCGGTCACACCCTGCTTCCCCGGCCCAAGTTGGAATTGAGACGGGGTTGCGGTGGCTGGTGGCTCCTGCCCGCGTTCTCTGGTTCATTCTGCCATCTCAACCCGTAACCTCTCTCACCTGCTCTCCTACGTGTGCAGGCGCACTTACCGGTTGATTCCCTATATCTGTGTTGAATATGTTGTTGGAGGATTGATTCAGTGTGCGGATTTGAGGTTTTAAGGTCCTTATTTGTGATCGTATGACAGTTCGTTGTGTTTAAATTCTGAGCGAGTCTTGGGCGGGCCTGCACCGAGCTGTCAGTGCTGTGGAAGAACTGACAGGGGCCGTCTGCGTTACCGCGATGGGAGACGTGTGTTTGGGGCTATTTTGAATGCGTTCGGTCTTGTAATTCAGTCTGTAAAATGAATTTTGTTTCTCCCCCAGCACTGAGACTGTTGCCTTCCTGCTTGGCTGCATGCTAGCTCCTTCGTTGGCGTCCACAGTGTCCTTTCAGTAACTGCAGCGGAGCTGTGCTCTGCAGGCTTGGTTGGCAGCATCCGTAGAAGTTAAGCTTGAAGGAGCCACTGCCTTCCGAAGTCACTGCCACCAGCTGTGGGGTGACTGTGCGGATGTAGGAGATGGAACACGGTCTCTGAAGACCGAACTGTGTGCTTGTTCTCGCATCTGAGGTCATGGGTGTTGGAGAAGTCACTTTGGTTTGCATACATTTCTCAACTTCTCAGTGTTGGGGTGTTTCTGGAGGGTGAGGACTAGAACGTAGCTCTGTTACTGTTTCTGTGCCATAAATAGAGACAGAAAATTTCATTCCCATGATTCTAAAATGACTTCCGAATGGACTTTTCTGTGGTTTTTCTTGTGGTAGGAAAGGCCCTGTGTGGATCATACTTAAAAGGCTGAGGGTGCCTGGGTGGCTCAGTTGGTTGAGTGTCCAACTAACTCTTGATCTTGGCTCAGGTTATGATTTCACAATTCATGGGTTTAAGCCCTGTGTCAGGCTCTGAGCTGACAGCATGGGATCTGCTTGGGATTGTCTCCCTCCCTCTCTCGCCCCCTCTCTCTGCCCCTCCCCTGCTCATGCAGTTGCTCTGTCTGTCTCTCTCAGAAAGATAAAGGAGTCAGATTATACTCCTAGTACCGTAAAGTTCCGATTGTACAGGGCTGTGCTTGATCAGCTGTCCACCACTTAGAGAAATGCCGGGAACGCATGGTTCCTCCTCTGTGAAGCTGTTCTTTCCCCCTCCTGTGTAGGGCCGGGCAGGGTGGTGGAGGAGATGGGCGTTGCTGAGGAAGGAGTGTGGAGTGTGGCACAGGCACCTTGTGTGGGACACAAAGCAGTTACACACAGTCAGAGGGGCCAGACCCTGGGCCCCCAGGCCCTACTTGGGGTCCGCCCCTACCCGTTCTGAGGAGGAGGGATGCCTCCATGGCCCTGGTGCCTTCCTCTGTAGATGGCGTGCCGATGACGCTGTGTGCAGGCCCTGGGGGCCGTTGTGGGGATGCGGGTGCCCAGCAGGGTGCTTGTCCGGGAGCCATCGTCCCCTTCCCTCCACTCTTCCCGGCCTTTCTGCAGCTCTCCCTCCACCTACGCTGAGCAGAGGGGAGCACTCCCCCGTTACCCGCCCCTGCTAGTGGGGAGAAGTCCATGTGGAAGAAGGGAGGAGGCACACAGGTGCTGCCGGGTGCTGCTCCTGGCTAACAGCCCCATAGCCCCTGGTGTAGACACTGGGCCACTACTGTGCCAGGTGTCCATCCTCGCAGTCCCGGGAGTTTCCTGACAAACCCGTGCTCTGAAGACGCATACACGTTGAATCGTATCTTGATGACTTCTTTGATGGTTTTAAATTGTATCACCATGAAGGGCTGAGTTACAGGAATGAAAGTTATTTTCTCATCCTCATAAGTGTGTTCAGTTTGCATAACTAGGATTATGTGAAACCTTCCCCTTCTTTTATGATTTGCTTTGACAAAGTGTGTATACATGTTTCTTTAAAAGGTCAACTTAAAAACCTGTATGTGGATGGGTGGGCTGGTGGATAGATGGGTGGGTGGGTGGATGGATGGGCAGGCAGCAGGCAGGTACTACTAACCACACTGTCACCATGTTGCTCACATGGCCCAGGCGTGCGTTCTCACTGCAGTGCAGCAGCCTGTGCCTAACCAGCCACCGAGCTTCTGCAAACCCAAGTTCAGGGAGCAGCAGCTTCCTAAGGAAGTCTTGCATACGTAAGAAACGTAAGACTAGCTTGATAGTGATGGATTCAAGTGTTTTCAGCCTGAGGCTTGAAACCTTTTATTTCTGCGTTGGTTTGGTTAAGTGAACCGCTTTCTCTGGTGGGTATGATTGCAGAGTTGACGTGAGGTCACTTATGGTTGGAGAAGAGGCGGGCTGTGCCAACACCAATTCTTGATGTTTCCAGCGTGAGCTTCGTTTAGTTGAACCGTAGGAAACTTGTGCAGTTTCAAGTGCTTTAGCGTAAGTGTGCTGTGCATGCTTCCACCAGGAGCCCTTAGTGTGGCTGGTGTTCCCAAGAAGCTTGGATGCTGGTGGCCGGGTGTAGCTGAGTGCGGGGAGAGGGGATGGAGGAGGTGAGGCGGTGGCTGGGTCCCTGCGGTCAGATCAGGCAACCTGCCCTGAGGACTGATGTGCTCAGTTTTTCTTGAGGGTTTTTGCAGTTTTTTGGCTTTATTTATAGTGTTCTTCCCAGTAGGTGATGTGGGGGCTCCGAGGTCACCCTGCTCTTCGCAGAGGGTGAGTGAGCTGGTGCCTGCTCCTTCCCCAGCCTGTGTGTCCCTCCTGCCCCCCCTGCCTGGAATGGAGCACGGGCAGCAGTGCGGATGCAGGCGGGGCCCCTAGCCGGGCCTCCAGTGCCACGTGCGCTAGAGAGGCAGGTGCAGGAACGCCTGTCGGCACGAGTCCTGACGTGCCAGTGCCGTGTGATGCTCACCGCCGCGCGCCCAGCCCTCCTGAGTCACTCCAGATGCCGTGGCCGTTGAACTGGAGCATTTGAGGGCGGACCTGGAGTGCACGATCGTGGAGGCCTCGGGAGGGCCTTGCTGGCCGGCAGGTTAGATGAGCAGTGGGGTGAGTTGTCAGGAGCGGGAGGTAGGCAGGCACGGCTTTCAGCGCCTTGAATTTCCAGATGCGCGTTCAGTCTCCCCGGCTACAAGTGTGGCAGCGCTCTGTACCCCGAGGCTAAGCGGGGTGGTGACGTGACCGTGCCTTTGGCATTTTAAAGCCTAAGTGGAAGAGTCTGTCACCTGACGGTGTGCCTCATGCCTGCTCCTCGCACAGAGCGCTTCAGGCTGTTGGGCGGCCTCCTGCGTGCCCAGGGCGTCCACGCCCTGGTTCACATCACTGTGGCCGTAAAGCATCTTTTACTTGTTTTTACCAGGTTGAGGGACCTGGAGAATGGCAGTCTTGTAGCTCAGCTGTGAACTAGGCTTGCTCAGGTGGCCTCCGCGAGAACGGGAGGCATGGTGGGTTTGCTTAGCGGACCGCCTGTGCTGGGTTTGCCTAGCTGGGTTCGCCCGTAACCAGAGCGATGCCATCAACTTTCTGTGGTGTTCCGTTTCATGTCTCAGTGTAGCCAGCGCCGGTGTGGCTCCAAGCACGAAGAGCCCGGTGCTGCTGGTGGGGTGGGCGTCCTCCCCTGCCCGCCCGCGGGCTCTAACCGCTGCGCCGCCCACTCTCTCTGCTCAGCGAGCAGCTGGGAGAGTTCATGGAGACCAGAGGCGCCAGCAGCCCCGGGATCCTGGTGCTGACCACTGGCCTCAGCAGACCGTTCATGCGCCTGGACAAGTACCCCACGCTGCTCAAGGAGCTGGAGAGACACATGGAGGTACTGCCCGTCACTCGGAGCCCCTCCGCCCCCATCAGGGAAGCTTGCCGTCTGCGTCAGAGGCGGGACCCAACTAAAGTGTCTTTGCAAGGGTTTTTAACTTTAGGGATTTTCAAGACAATTTGGTAAATAGTAAGTTTTCTCCTTCCCCTCCATCTACAAAATTATGTGACCTTCTTCAATTCTCTCCCCCATGCTGCTGTTAGAAAAATCTCCAAAAGGTATGAAATGTTAAGCTCCGTTTTAAGCAGCATTGAGGAGCCCTGTTAGGAACACGTGGTTACAGACAGTACGTGCAGTGTATGTGCAGTAAGAAGAGGGAAAGGCCCCATCAGTTCATGGTGGGTGTTTCTCTTATTCTTGAACAGCAGACCACAGGCCTGGCAGAAACTCGGGTTCAAGTTGCCGTGTGTAGGCGAAGGTCAGCGACCTTTCCCTGTGAGGGGTGGGCCCTCTGGCCCCTTCCTCGCCAGCCCCCTGCTGCAGCGAGCCTGGTGCGGGGAGGAGATGCCTGCTCCTGCTGTGGGCCTGTGTCTTCTAAACCTCGGTTCCCCCAAAGTCCACCGGGCCCATGAGAGTATGGATGGCACCTCAGTGCTGAGACAGACAGGTCGTGCTGTGGGTTGAAAGGGTCGGGACAGTTCCAAGCTGGTCTCTGGTGTGCCTTTTGAAGAAAAAAGTTTGCGTCGTGAAAGCTAATAGTGTTTCTTGTATTCAAAGGATTACCATCCGGATAGACAAGATATTCAAAAATCCATGACTGCCTTCAAAAACCTCTCAGTAAGTGATTAAGCATATTGTGGTCTCCCCAACCCTGCAACATTATGACAAATGAATGTAGAGAAATTTATTACCTAAAAAAAGTTGGATGACAAAAGAAAATGAGAGCAAGAATTAGGGTGTTCTCCGTACAAACTAATCACAGGAGTTCACCTACCATGGTGGTAAGTTGCCACGCTTCACTGGGCTGTGCACCCCGGGAAAATGGTCACTGAGCCTTTAAAAAGGCACCATGTGATTGACACTGGTTCCTCGTGGAGGTCCTGCTCTGCGGGCCGTGTCCTCCGTGAGGACGAGGGGGCCCCTTCTGTCACCGTGCTGTTCGCTTTCGGTGTTTCCGGAACGCGCCTGGCTGACCGCACGTGCAGCACGCCTTCCTCGCCCTGCTCAGTCCCTGTGCCAGCAGAGCCCAGAAAAGCCAGAAAACGCCTTCCCGTGCAGTTTGCATGTCTTCTAAAAGCGGCAAGATCTGCTGTATCGTTCTACAGCTGTTTCTCATTCCAGAGCTCTTAGTTCCGTGCTTGTGAATTCAGCATTTCCTCCTTCAGACGTGATGTGTCTTAAAGCCGGGTGGCCAGTAGCTGGGCTCTGGGAGCCCCTGTGTCTTCTGACCGTGGTGCTGTGTGTCCCAGGCCCAGTGTCAGGAGGTGCGGAAGAGGAAGGAGTTGGAGCTGCAGATCCTGACGGAAGCCATCCGGAGCTGGGAGGGGGACGACATCACGACCCTGGGCAGCGTCGTTTACATGTCGCAGGTCATGGTCCAGTGTGCCGGGAGCGAGGTGTGTGGGGCAGGAGCACCGTGGCCGCGTGCACCACTCTGCCGAGCGCGGGGACACGAGTGGAGGGACAGGGTGGCCGCGGGGCTGGCGCGGTTCGGGAAGCATTCAGATGCATTGGGGAGAAATGGGGTTGAGAGCTGACCATCATCTGGATTAAGTGAAATTTGTTTGGTAAATGCTTTCTCAGATTCCTCAGCGGCAGGCAAGAAGGAAAAAACACTTTAGAATGTTATGCTTTTGTGATTGTGTAATGGATTTTAAAGTAAAGTCAAATTTAATAGGATTTTTGTATCCTAATTTGTCATGTTTTATCCTTGCTTAACATAGAAGTGGCTTCCAGCATATTAGTGAGGCTCCCTCACCATGGACCACTTGACTGGTTTGGGTCTAGCCGGGAGGAATTACGATCGGTCTGTGTCCACTGAAAGGGGCCATCGGACAGGACCACTTAGACCCCAGACACAGCCCAGAGCAGCGTGTATGTCCCTGCCTGGCCCGGGCTTTTCTGTAACACGGGCATTCTAGAAAACCCGTTCTGGTGCTTCAGGTCATTGCACTTTCTCTGTTCTCTCTGCTGGTTGGCAGTTGCTTATGGAAATCAGTGGTCTTGTGGGCTTGGGTGAAGTGAGAGGTGAAACCAGGATCTTGTTTCACTGCCCGAGTTACACGTTCGCTGGGCCACTCAGCAGTCTCTCGGCGCGTTTCTGCCTACTGTGTATGTGTACAAACAAAACAAACCAGTAACAGTGAATGACCCACTTTCAAACATGAAACTCTTCGGACCGTAAGAAAGCTGAAACTAACTTCAGTTTGGGGATCCTAAGAAATTAGTGCTGTCTTTACTGCTTTGACTCAGTCTTTCCAGAAACCATGTTTTAGTCACACACTTCTAAACTTAGGGAAATGTTTCTTCAGTTTTTAAACAGTGTTTTCTTTATAAAACAGTGCTAGTGGCTGATCACAAAATGTTTCCAAGTTACGACTGAGAAGGTTGTACAGATTTCTTCTTGGAGGGGAGAGGGCTCTCAAGCCTGTGCTCTGAGCGGTGCATTCTGTTCACGAAGACTTCTGTCCTCTCTTAACTATCAAAAGAAAGCTTTAGATTAGTTAAAAATAGTTAATGGCAGAGGTGAACTCCTTAGCCAACTTGTTTTTAAAAGATGCTGCCTGGGCTACCAGTGAGTCTAAGACCTTATCATAATTCTGTCTCTATTTAATTTAGCTGATAAAATTCGATAGAAAGACAGACATACAGTTTGTTTCATGAGGCCTAATGTAAATATTTGTTCTCACATTTGTGTATTTTGAAACAAATCACTTGGGTTTGTTTGCTCTTCTGCATTAGGAAAAGAACGAGAGATACCTTCTGCTCTTCCCCAGTAGTTTGCTGATGTTGTCTGCCAGCCCTCGGATGAGTGGTTTTATCTATCAGGTAATGTACATTTTAAGTTTACACGTTACTGTTCACTGTGGATCTGAGAGTCTGTTCCAGGCTTATTTTGGATTTCGCGTGAAGTACGACTCGTGTGTCCTCGTACTGTGTACGGACCCACGTGTATAGTGTCACCGAGTCGAGTAGGTCACACTGCGCCCGTTTCTGCATGACCGCAGATGTCCCTGCGCTGCTCCTGAGCAGACCCGGCAGGGACCCAGGGACCCCGTAGGGCTGCCTCCTAAGGGCACAGGCTGAGATGACCTGCCCGAGGCCTGTCTTAGTTGGCCCTTCTTTCCTGGCCACTTCCCTGGCGCGGAGCCGGGGATGCTGGCCGAGGCCGGCAGTGCACCTAGTAGATCACGGAACCTTTCTCCGTTCGGTAGTTTTGCTGACACTGAGAAGATGGGCCCCTGATGTAAGAAGGACACGCAAAGGGAGAGGTCTCTCTCCGCAGGAAAGTAACCTGCGGTGTCAAGTAGCTTCTTTTTCTCTCATAGCTGCTTGGGCCTCACCGCTGTTTTCCGCGACTTTAGAGCAGCTTGCCCCTCCCAGGTTTCTGGGCCTGGCCAGTCCTCAGTCCTGCCAGCAGGGGTCGCCACGAGGTGCATTGTTCTGTGTCGTCCCGGACACGCGCACGGGTGGGTCATGAGTCCCAGGTGTCTGTGGCGTGTGCGCCTCCACAGAGAGCTTGGTCCCCAGAGGAGGAGCTGTCACACACTTACCCCAGAAGGAGCACTCTACAGGTAATGATGAAGCTGACGTGTATAGTAAACCCAGAAAACCTGTGCCTCCAAGTTCGTGAGTGCACCTACCCCGGTTCCCCAAATCAGCAGCCCCCCCTCGTCGGTGGCCCCCACCAAACACAAAGCTGAGTCCTTTCCGCCAGCACGCTTTGGCTTTGTGGTTTGTACCCCGAGAGTCTGGGATCAGCTCTGCTGTGACCCGAGGGAGCAGAGGCGGCTGTGCGGGGCAGGCTTGGCGCCCTGCCACATTCTCCCTGGGCGTTGGAGTTGACATGCCGGTGGGGGCCTCGTGCCCCCAGCGGGCCCCTGCTTTCGCGTTCTGTGTGTGGTGGCCTGGGAAGGGCGACTGAGTGCTGGTGACTGTGCTCTGTTCATTGTCAGTATCCACGTCGGGCTTTGAGGGACGTGGAAAAGGATCGAGTCAGGGAATGTTCCGTGCGCCGGTGTCGCTGTGGTTAAGCATGGTGCTGCCGCTGCGTGGTCTCCAGAACTTCCCGGAGCTGTCACCCCACTTGGTGTGCTCAAGACTTGGAGATGGGGACGCAGGGCACAGCGGTTTCCACGTACCTCCAAGCAGAAATGCCCGGTGCCATCTAACGTGCCACCTGATGACCTTGTGACGGGCACTCTGCGCAGATGGGCAGGGAGCTGCCCCGTGTACCGTCCCGCGGGAGCTCCCAGCCGGCTGCGCCACAGCTAGTCCCCCTCGGTTCCGTCCTCTGCCCAGAAACCTGCTTCTCTGCAGGCGGTGTGGCCCTGCACCGCCCCTTCCCTGGAGCCTTGGCCACTGTTGGTGGTTTTTTGCCCCGCGCTGTTGGTGGTGATTTGCTTGCAGCCCGACTGGAGTGACGAAAAGCATCACATGGAATTTGTGTTCATTGTAGACCTTACTGAAGCTTACTGCTGGCTCCATTTCTCTTTTATTATGGTGTTATGGTTTCTTACTTGATGTAAAAGTCTGTAATACACATGCACGTGGCAGAGTCAGACAGCTGTTTCGCTTTACGGAGTGCTGCTGCCATTTCTAAAATGATTAATACTTGTTTTGATAACCGTACCTTCTTTACTAGAAAAGCACTAATTGTTTTTTTTGTGGGGGGGGTCTTTTTTAGGGAAAGCTACCGACGACAGGAATGACAATCACAAAGCTTGAGGACAGTGAAAATCATAGAAATGCATTTGAAATATCAGGTGATAGGCCAGACTTTGTGGCTGTCTGTCTGTCCGGTGGTGAGTGACAGCTCACTGTGTGCGTGCACTTTGTGGCTGGATTGCCCGAGGGCTGTGTCAAGCGCTGCTGGCCTCTCTGCGGGGGGTGTGTGAACACGTGCGCCGTCCGCCTGTGTGCCCGCGTCAGCGTATCCCTCCCCCCCCCACCCAGGGAGCATGATCGAGCGGATCCTGGTGTCCTGCGCCAGCCAACAGGACGTGCACGAGTGGGTGGACCACCTCCAGAAGCAGACGAAGGTCGCCTCTGTCGGCAACCCCTCCGTCAAGCCCCATTCTGTGCCGTCTCACACTGTAAGGACCCCACACTTCTCCCTCCACGCGGCGGTGGGGGGGCGGGGCTCTGAGGGCCGGGAGGGGGTGTCCGCAGGTGAGCAGGTGCATCGAAGCACCATCAGTACGTGGGTCGAGAGTAAACACTCGTGCCTGTGTTTCTCTGGGGCCCTGGCGAGTCCCTGTCACAGAGCTCATGGCCTCACACCGGCGGCTCCCAGGTGAGGCCTCCCTGCAGGTGGTTTGGAGGCCGGCCCTCAGAGCTGCCTCTGCTCAGAGCCACCTAGAGGACTAGCTTTCGGGGGCTTTTCACCTAAAACCTCAAGAGCCACCGGTCCACATGTGCTTTTGTTTTTTCCTGAGAATCTTAACTGTGTTCTGTTGCACCAAAAAACACAAATATTTATGGTGATCCAAAGGGCTGGGGGCACCTGGGTGGCTCAGTCATTTGGGCATCCAACTCTTGGTTTTGGCTCAGGTCATGATCCAGGTTCTTGGGGTTGTGGGATCGAGCCCTGCGTAGGCTGCGCACCGAGCATGGGGCTGACTGGCGGTTCTCTCTCCCCTCTGCCCCTCCCCCACACGTGCTCTCTATAAAGTACAAACATAATAAAAAGCCCAGATTCATGTGGAAGGCTTTAAAATGTGGCTTTTGACTCATTGTTTTGATTTTGAGAAATCCATTTATCTTAGAAGAGCTAACCAGCTCTTTGACTTTTTAAATACTTAAATATTTCACAGTAGCTCAGCACAAAGTGTCCATGGAGTTTAAAACTTCTCCTTACTGGTGTTTTATGCTGAAGATACTGGAATGGAGCCCTTTTCGTGTGCTCCTCTTTCTCAGACAGCGTTCAAGTACATGCCCCTTTCCACAGGTGCCCTGTGAGTACACAGCCTTTCCAGGTGGCACCTCTTTCTCACGTTCGTGTCAGGTGGTCACGAGCTTTATTTGGACTTTCTACCAAGCGGCTCACTTCCACATCCACCTCCTCACTGCTGCAATGTTTGCTCAGGAAGAGTGACTGTAGCCAGCATTCTTTTTTTTTTTTTTTTAAATATTTATTAATTTTGAGAGCACATGCATGAGCCGGGGAGGGGCAGAGAGGGAGAGAGAGAATTGCACTGGGGCTCCACACTGTCAGCACAGAGCCCGATGTGGGACCCACGCTCACAAAACCGTGAGATCATGACCTGAGCTGAAACCAAGAGTCGGGTGCTTAACCGATGGAGCCCTCCAGGCGCCCCTGGTAGCATAGCCTTCTGACAAGTTTCATTGTACTCCATTTCTCTGGATAGCTCGCAGGTGGAAACTACCCTTTCGCTTTAGCCAGTGTTGCGTTTTGGGTGACTCTGGCCATTTGTAACTCTCTATACTTGGAAAAAAAGAAAGCTAAAGCCACTTAGCTCCGTGGAACTAAGTGTACTGCAGAGCTACTGTGTGTGCGTGTGTGTTCCCGAGGAGACGTGGCGGTCAGTACTGCATCACAGCGTCAGCACCCTGGCGGTGTGCCTCACACACAGGCTTCTAGAGGGTTAGGCGTCCTTCGGAGGCACCTCCTCCCGCACTCGGCTGAGGCCACCTTGAAGAAGAGTCTCATTCAGGCACAGACCGTGACCTCTGGACTTCTTTAAAGAGGAACCAGTGTGAATAGTATAGTGTAGGGGTCGTGTGAACTGTGAGGACATGGGGCACGCCCAGGCACCTCCGAACCGGGACGCCCGTGTGGCTCCCGCAGGAGGTGTTTGCTCTGGTACTGGAGCGCCCTGGCAGCAGCCGGTGCCAGGCTTCTCGTTCAGCGTGTTTCACACGGAGAGTTCTTGTGAGCGAGGACCTCACTCATGATTTCCAGCTCATGGAACTTCATCTGTTTTCAACTTGCCTCGTTGTTGTGGGTAATTTGAGGTCATTGGCTGATTTTGAGTATTGAACCTTTTTGCATTTAATTGTCAACATGATAGAGTATTTTCAGTTTCTCCAGGAAAATAAACCCTATTATTCTTCCAAAAAATTAGATTTTATATAGCTTTATTTTGATTAGGGCAGATTTTTCTGGGAAAATGTTTTATACTAGGAATTGGCAAAATTTTTCTGTAAAGAGACAGTAAAATATTTTCAACTTAAAGGCAGTGTGGTTTTTGTTGCAGTTGTTGCCGTTTTTCTTTGGTTTTACAGCCGTCAGCAGGAGCAGGCCTGGCTGTGTCCCTGGAAAAGTTACTCATTCATTCATTCATTCATTCATTCACTGAAAACAGGCATTTGGGTCTTGCTTTGCCTACCCATGAATCACCAGGTGGCAAGTATGTCCCTGGAGAGAACGACCCTCCCTCTCGCCACATTTCCCAGGACAAGAAATGCCTGTTCTTGTACAAAATTGTGACCTGTGCCCAGTGGGACCTCTTTATGCGGTGTTCCTCCGTGGCAAACAAAGGTGGTGGGGGGTACTAGGGTCTGGGCCCCTGCATCCTGCTCCCCCAAGCTGACCTGACGCAGAGCAGACAGGTGTTCTGGAAGTCGCCTGCTTTGGGTTGGAGAGTTAAGAGATGATGGCCACTTGGGTTTTTTTCACTGGGAGTGTTTGAGAAATGGGCAGAACCTCAGGGGTCTGGTGGAGGGACCCCTAAGGACAACTGTCATGTTCTGCTCCCTCTCGGTGTCTCTGCCCACCCCCAGCTCCCCTCTCATCCGATCGCGCCGTCCGGCAAGCACGCAGACAGCAAGCCAGCGCCCCTGGCGCCCGCCTACCACACGCTGCCTCACCCCTCCCACCACGGCACTCCGCACACCACCATCAACTGGGGGCCCCTGGAGCCTCCGAAGACCCCCAAGCCGTGGAGCCTGAGCTGCCTGCGCCCCGCCCCGCCCCTGCGGCCTTCAGCTGCCCTCTGCTACAAGGAGGTGAGGTCTGAGTGTGGCCAGCACCAGCGTGACTTTGCTGCGTGTTAGGCCAGCTGTGCTGTGCTTCGTTCTGGTGCATTCAGAAATCCGGAAAATCCCGTTTCTGTCTGTGATTCTGTGACGTGAGGAAAGTGCTAATCACCGGAGAACCGCAGCCTTGCCTTGCAGTGCCTTCGCCAGCGGGCCCAGCTCCCCGCCGCCCAGAGCCAGGGCCCAGAGGGTCCCCCGGGCTGTCAGCCCGCTCAGCCTGACCTGACCATGCACGTCTTGCTTGTGCTGGGCTTGCTAGCTTCTGGGCTACTCTGCTCGGCCCCAGGACCCTTTTCCAGGCCTGAGTGAGGGCCACCCACAAACCCTGCATTTATCACCGAAAGCTGTTGGAGACCAAGAGAGCGCGTGCACAGTAAAAGTGGCAGAATGTGGTTTGCCCGATACATGTGTTCTCTGCTCCCGTGTTGGTGGGCTGTGCCCTGTGCTTTGACACCAGGCCGCTTCTGCTAAACCTGCTTTCAGGAAAGGAAGCATCTTAAGAAAAGTGCTCTGAGGGGGCGCCTGGGTGGCTTAGTCGGTTAAGCGTCCGACTTTCGCTTAGGTCATGATCTCGCGGTTCGTGGGTTCAAGCCCCGCATCGGGCTCTGTGCTGACTGCCAGCTCAGAGCCTGGAGCCTGTTTCAGTCTGAGACTCCCTCTCTCTCTGACCCTCCCCTGCTCACGCTGTCTCTCTGTCTCTCCTAGAAATAAATAAAATAAAACATTAAAAAAAAAAAAAAAAAAAAAAGAAAAGTGCTCTGAGGAATATAGTATTTGAGAAATCTGGTGACTGCAGCGCTGGGTGTGGTTGTGAGTGTAAGCATGGGGGGCCCGAGCGCGAGCCTGAGCGTGGGGGTGAGGCCATGTGTCCCAGTCTACCTCTCTGTGTCAGCTGAGCTCCCTCTCGTCCGAGGACCTAGGCCCTCGTCATTGCCAGCAGCCCTAAATGCTTTACCCCACGGAGGTCCTATGTAAATTATAGTCTGTCCTTTACAGGCTCTTGTTTTCATTAGTTTTGCTGTTTAAGACCTGAGTCCTGCTGGTGGTCACAGGCCCAGGCACGCAGTGTCCTTGCCGTGGGCGACTACGGGCCCGGGACACCTGCCTGGTGTGCTGTCCCAGAGCTGTGACTGCTTGAGGAACGGGAGGGTTTTATCCGAACCCGCAGCCTCTTGCTTTCATGCCGGTGCCCGGCAGCTGGCCGGGACCACACGGCGGGAGTGAAGTACAACACTCTCCACCGCGGGGGGCTGAAGTGACTTCCTGCTTCATGCTGTCACCCTCACTGGTGCTCCAGGAAAAATTCGTGCTTTTGGAATTTGTCAGAATATCTTTTTCCGTTTTCTTTCCCTAGGATCTTAGTAAGAGCCCGAAGACCATGAAAAAGCTGCTCCCTAAGCGCAAGCCTGAGCGGAAGCCTTCGGACGAGGAGTTCGCCCTGAGAAAAAGTGAGTACGTGCTGTGGGGGTCGGTGAGGACACAGGTCTGTCTGGGGCACAGCGTTTCTGGGGTAGAGGCATGGCTGATGGCTTTCCGAAGGCTTGAGACGGATGTCGGGGTCTGGGCCTTAATGCCACATCTATAGGAAGTCGAGGGGCGATGGCAGCAGACTGTTTTCAGGAGCAGGAGAGCTGCCTGGTGCCCATGGTGAAACGTCCGCGCTGTGCTCCCCGTGATGGGCTGCTCACGGTCTCTTGGCCTCGTGCTGCCCTCGTCCTGGGAAAGCCGGGCCAGGGTGCAGGGTTGACCTGCAACCGCCTGCCCTTCTCTGCCCTCCTTGCCCTCTGCTTTGCACCTGTCGGGGGCTGTGGCTGCGCGGCCGCAGCTCTCTGTCCTCCCTGTGGATGTCCCGGCCTCGAGGCCCAGTGCACGCCTGTGAGACGCGGACGCGCTGGGGCCTGGGCGCTTGATTTCCCGGACAGCCTTGCACGCATGAGGGCCCTGCTGATAGTGAGTAAGCAGAGCTATTCCCAGAAGGTGGTGACTGGAGAAATGGGGTGCGCGCGCTCCCATCCACCCCCCTTGCCATACGTGCCTGTGCCAACACGCCCACCCCCGCCCACCCGCTCCCTTTTAATGCCAGGCCGGTTTCTGGTGTGACGGCGGAGGGCCTCCGTGGGCACAAATGCCGGGGGGACGACCTCGGAGGGGAAGACGGCCCAGGTCGTGGGAGCCTCGGGCACGTGGTGGGTGCCGTGTCCCTGCCCCTCAGTGCCTGCCCACCTCTGCACCCCTTGCTCCCCACGTGCCCGCGTCCTGCCGTGGGTCTCCCTGACTTTCTGGAGCACTGCTCTTCTTGGCCCTACTCATTGGGGCCTTTCAGGGATTTATTTATTAAAGAAGGTGCAGCGGGGAGAGGTTTCTGGTCGGAACACGAGTGTGGCTGATACCAGCCCAGGGAGGGGCTGCTCGGTGCGGGGCCTGCAGGCACCTTGGGGCCCCAGCAGCGCGTGTGGCTCCACCACGTGTGGGCGCTGTCCCCGTGGGGGCGGCAGGCTGGGAGTGGTAGAGGCAGTGATGGGCCTGGAGGCTGTCCCACAAACGTGGCCCCGTGCACCCCCCCCATCCTGAGCTCTCAGGGCAAGGAGCACTCCCCGGATGCCCGCCGAGGTTGGTGAGGGGAGTGTGGTCCCGGGGCTCTGGAGCCAGTGTCTGGGAGGTGCTCCCCTGCTTCAAGGTGCTTATTCATAGGACGCCTTCTCCCCACACCCCCGACCACCCTCCCCCCTCCCCCCTCCCCCCTTCCCTTCACACTGTTTGCCCGTTGGGTCTCCTGTTTCTGCACAAGGGTAGCTCCATGGTGACAGGCGGGAGGCCAGGGGGTGGGTGTGAGAGAGGGTCCCACAGTGCTTTGGGCCGAGGGGCAGCTGCGGCCTCGCTGTGAGCAGAGGCCGTGAAGGGCCTTGGTTTGAACAGGATCGCAGATGGCTGTGCTGAGAGCGGACGGCGGGGGTGGGCCTTGGGCGGCCAGGTAGGAGGCCATGCGGTGACACAGGTGAGGGGGGTATGGCGATGGCCTGGCGGGGGGAGGACACTGTGGGCGGGGTGCACGTTTTTTTTAAAGTTTATTTTGAGAGAGAGCAGGCAAGCAGGGGAGAGGCAAAGAGAGTGTGGGGAGAGAGAGAATCCCAAGCAGCCTCCAAGGTGTCTGCACAGAGTCCGACTCGGGGCTCAAACTCATGAACCGTGAGCTCATGACCTGAGCTGATGTCAGACACTTAACCAGTTAAGCCCCCAGGCACCCCGGGGCTCGATGGTTTTGAAGAGGGAGCCTGCAGCTGTGCTTTCTCCCCTGGGGGGTGGGGGGCTCTGGGGGATACTTACATCTGGAGACCTTGTCAGTTGTCACCACTGGGTGTGGGAACTGCCGCCATTGCAGGGGTGATGGCCAGGGATGCCACTCACTACTGTAGAGCCGCCGGCCGGCCCTGGGGTGCAGTGGCACTGAGGCCCATGGGGAGGCCCCGGGCTGGTGGCGAGGCTGCAGGGGATCTCCCCGTGAGAGGGGTGCGGAGAGGAAGATGGGGGCTGGGGAGGGGTGGAGCCAGCGCAGGGAAGGGAGCGTGGAGGGACCAGGAGGTGAAAGGAGAGCTGGGCATCCCCGGGGGAGGGGAGGCTGCCGCTCTCTTCTTGCTGCCTGCTCGGTGAACAGCCGCTTCTGCGTCATGTGCCGGTCCCCGAAGTTACCGGGGTCTTGGTGACGTTCTGAATCCTCAGAGTTTGTCTTGTCCGCGGGATGGCCTGTGCTACACCAATATTGTGTGCTGTCCTGTTCATTTACCTCCTCTGACCTTTGTGAGCAAAGGAGGCTTGGGGACAGCGGTGAATGCTCCGTCCTGGGGGAGCCAGCGCCCGGGAGGCGGCCCTGCTTTCTCTGCGTGCCGGGTGATGTGCGCACGTCCCGGCCGATGGGTGATCCGACCCAGTGGCGTGGACCGGTTACCACACATGAAATCGTTCTCCTCCCGGCAGAAAGGTCCTGAGTGTGGGGAGTGAAGCCTTCTCTTCCCCTGTGGGACGAGCTCGTCATCAAAGGATGGGTTCCTGTCAGGGATGCTTAAGTCCGTTTCTCAGGAGCTCTGAAACTCACGATGCTGAGATGCTTTTCTTGTCAGTAGTGTAGGTGACATGTGGTGCCGCATTAGCTGCAGGTGCGCAACCTGGCGGCTGGACGGGTCCGTCCCGTCTGCCGTGCTCGTGCAGCTGCCGTTGACCACCGTCAATACTCCCACGGCACTGTGGACTGTACTCACAGTGTGCGTTTCATCCCCGTGACTTCGTCACTCCATAACCAGAAGCCTGGACCTCCCACTCCCCCTCACCCACTTTGCCCACCCCCGGCCCAGCCGCCCTTTGCATTCACATGTCTGGTTTTGCTTCTGTGTGCTCGTGTGCTTTAATCTTGGATTCCAAGTGAGACTTGCCGCTGTCTGTCTGCTTCAGTCACACCACTTTCCCTTAGCACAGGGCTCTCCAGGGCCGCCCACGTTGTCACAAATGGCACAATCTCATCTTTTCTACGGATGCAGAACACTCCTGTGTGTGTATGTGTGTGTGCGCATGCATGTGCGCACACACACCACATCTTCCTTATCCATTCGTCTGTTGATGGGCCCTTGGGTTGGTTGCTTTCCTATCTTTCATATTTTGGCTGTGGCCAGTAACGCTGCAGGAAACCTATGGATGCATAGATCTTTCCAGATTAGTGGTTTTGTTTTATTTTTAAAAAAATTTTTTTAATGTTTTATTTATTTCTCAGAGAGAGAGAGAGGGGCAGCGTGAGCAGGGGAGGGTCAGAGGGAGACACAGAATCCCAAGCAGCCTCCAGGCCCTGAGCTATCAGCACAGAGCCCGACGTGGGGCTCGAACCCATGAATCGTGAGATCATGACCTGAACTGACGTTGGAGCTTAACTGACTGAGCCCCCAGGCGCCCCAGTGGTTTTGTGTTCTTGGTATAAAGTCCCAGTAGGGGAATTATTGGTTCGTATGGTGTCTTGAAAAAGAAAAACAAAGCTAGAGGTATCGTAATTCTAGACTTCAAGAGAGACTGCAGAGCTGTGGTGATCAAAACGTAAGTCCTGGCACAGAATCAGACACCTGGATCGGGGACAGAATAGAGCCCCAGGTAAACCCCTGCGTCTGTGGCCGGTCAATCTGAGGCAGAGGCGGCAAGAATATACAATTGGGAAAATGACAGTTTCTTCAGCGAATGGTGTTGGGAAGACTGGCTCGCTACACGCACAAGTATGAAACTGGGCCACTTCCTCCCACGCCACACAGGGAGAAACTCAGAATGGATTAAAGAACCTAAATGTGAGACTTGAAACCATAAAACTTCTAGAAGGTATTGAACTTCTATTTCTTCATAGAGTATATTTGGCTTGCTTGTATGTATCTTACTATCCTAGAATGGTGAGGCTTTCTATAGCTTATGAATACTTAAGCCTTCCATTCCTCCACGTTTTTGCCAGAGTTGGTGAGCCTTTTAAAATATATGTCCATATGTAGTGTCTTAAAATATATAAAAAAAAAAAAAACAAAAAGGAAAAACTTAGTAATGCAGGAAAGAGAAAGATTTCAACCACAGGCTCACGTGAAGTATGAAGTATCCGGGACTGATAGCACTAGCTGCTGCTAGTCTGGAAGCATCTGTCCTCCTCCATGCCTGTGGTCTGAGTCCAGGTGAAGCCAGTGTGCGGAGTGACCCTGTGTGGAAGCAGGAGCTCTGGAATGAGTCCTTCGGGGTCTGGGTATCCCGGATGAGAGCTCGAGCACAAACTCAGAGGTCGGAGGAAGTGCTCTTTCCAAAGCCCGTCAGCCATGGGCGGCCAGAAGCTTCCCTCTGCAGCTGTCCTTCGCGCTGAACCCGCCAGCGCTGGGGGTGGGCTGGCTTTATGGTGAGGCTCCTGTGGAAACCTGATACTTCGTTTTAATGCTGTAGTTCTTAGAATATGGTTCTTTTCCCATGGTGTTCTTGGGTGACTTGCTTGTTCCTTTGCCCTGTTTCCGACTCCAGGGTGGGAGGGATACGGCTTTACGTAGGGGTTAGTAAGGGCTTAGTAAGGCAGCTTTTATAGATTGAGGCTATTGACTTTTTGCTAGGTGTGTTGCAGGTAAAAAAAAAAATAAACTTAAAACCTTTTGAACCGCTTCATAAATTTTGGAAAACCGTTATCTGACAAGAAAATACATTTTTAGATTGTGACATGAAGTTGTCGTCCTCAGCTCAGTTGTGACTTGCTGTCTCGACAGGTACAGCTGCTTTGGAAGAAGACGCGCAGATCCTGAAAGTCATCGAAGCTTACTGCACAAGCGCCAAGACGCGGCAAACGCTCAATTCGAGTAAGTTCCAGGGCAGCCGGCTGCGGGGGGCAGGACTGGCCGGGGTTGGCGGCCATCGGCTCGCTGGCGTGTGGGGGCGGCCCTCAGGGACTGACGCTCTGCTGGCTCGCCCTGAGAGCCCCGGGGGTCCTGCGGCCCTGGGATGCTGCGCGGGTCAGAGCTGTCCGTGACAGCACGGGGCTCTGCAGAGTGCCCCGCCGGGAAACCTTTAAGTATTAGTTCTGCCGGGAAGTGTAGAGCTTTCTCCTGCTTAGAGAAGACGGGCTTAGAAGACCGAAGATTAGTTCATTAAAGTATTGGTGTGATTGTGGGACTGAGGATGCTTAGAGTTGTCAAAAATATAAACTAAGAGTGAAGCTTTTTTAGGCCCCTGTTTTTTTTTAATGCTGCATTTAAAAATCTTTTGGAAGTAGATCTCAACTAATTGTTAGATTTGAGCACCAACTACTGCATTTTCCTGTATCTTTATGCATAAGGCTGTAGTGAGAAAATCGTAATCTGTTCAGACAGAAAAACAGTGGGCTCTTTTTGTCTCTCCCTTGCCGGCCTTTGGCGGTGGAGTGCAGCCGGGGTGCAGACAGGGCAGTGTGCGCGGTCTGACTTCCCCTCCCCCCAGACCGGGGTGGGAGGGTGTCCTGCGCTGTCCTTTCTAGGTGGGCTTTTGGGTTTCATTTTTGTTTTGTTTGAGGACTGGATTTATGTGTTCTGGCGCAGAAACTGGCTTCTGTTGGATTTTGTGTTTTGGATTCCCTTTCCACACGGACTTTGGACACATTGCCCACCTCGGCTTCATTCCCACCACCTTAGGGTGGCAGCTCAAATCCGTGTCCTGGATGGTGTTAGGCTAATTCTGAAAAAAGGACAGGTGGGAAAAGGGATTTTTACCTGCTTTAGGTTTTTTTAAGATGGTGACAGCGGAGAAGGTAGGGCTGGCAGGGTTGAAGCCCAGGGGCATCTGCAGGTCACCCAGAAACTGCCCTGTGGCCCAGTGGGGAGAACACCTCTTCCCAGTGACCGGTCAGCAGGACGGGAGAGAGATGCAAAGGCCTAAAGGTGGGGTGGATGTCAAGTCCAGCGATCATTTGTAAATCTAGTTTGTCATCTTTTGAGATAATGGTTTCCTGTATTTGATAAGAGACTGTTTTGAGTAATCGGCTACGTAAGTTGTGGACATAGTGTTTTCGGTGTTGAATTTGAGATTTTAAAAAGTTTTCTCACCTTGCATTACTTGAAATAAAATTTTAAGCTGGTAGTCCCATCCGGGTGAGCAGACCGGGAACCGGAGCTGTGTGTGCGTGTTTGTGAGAGCCTCGTTTGTCCATCCAGGAGACTGGGCCCCACGATGTGCCTGTGGCCCCTGCTCTGGCTGCCTGGAAGCGACGGCCCGTAGGTCATGCAGATCATTTGTCCTCTGTATTACGTGTTTCCATTTCTCCTGTGTGAGCAAAGCGTTGCACGATACGTTGTTTTTTGTTTTCGGCTGATATTGTGGGCCAGGCACTGTGGGGCCTCGTGTGCACAGTCCTCTCTGGCCGTAACCCTGATGCTCTCGTGACCAGGTAAGGTAGGGGAATTGAACCTTTGTGCTGGAAAGGCCATGTGGGGTTCCAGTGGAGGCAGTTCTTTTCGTGTTAAATGCTTCGAGCAGGCAGATTCAGTTCCTTTCGGTGTCCATTTGAATGCCAGCAAGACATTATAAACAGACATCTTTGGTATCCATTTCGGTCTCAAAGAAGTAGTGGCCTTCGTAGACCCTTGGGACTGAGTTGAAGGAATCCAGGGCAGCCACTGCCCGCTAGGGTTTGGGGCAGGAGCAGGCCGGAGGCGTGGTTGCCGTGGTGTGGGTGTGCCACCGTCTGTCACAGCGTCCTGCGTGCCCCATCCGCACAGCCGCCAGCGGGGCCCTCGTCCCCGTGCGGCCCCTCTTGGGCTCACCGCTGTTCTCGCACCTCGTGCCCTGTGTCCTCTGTCGCCCTCCTGCTAACACAGCGGCTCTCGGTTCATCGTGTCTCTCGTCCCGCCGGTGAGGTCTGCCATGGGGTTGAGAACGTTTGAACAGGCCTCCCCCTTTCCCTGCCCCCCGGCTGAGCTCTGAGGGGCGCTGCACTCGCGGGTGGTGCGGCAACAGGGAGGGCCCCCAGGGATGCGCACCCTATTTAACCCCGACTCCACTCACACTTTTCGGTGGTGGTGGTTTGGTAAGGTAAGTGTAGACCCATCCTTCACGTGAGCTGAAGAAGTAAGTCGGAGATCCTTTCAGACTCTCTTGCTTCAGTGTGTCCACCTGCAGAATAGGAAACGATTTCTAATTAAACACCTAAATGGTTTCTTTTACAAATGTCATCAGTGAGACTATTTGCTAATGGAATAGTGTACTTGTGAAATGTCTGTAGAATGAGCTGTGGACATGGGCTTACGTGAGGGCTCCTAGCACAATCTGTAAAAAGAGACAGTTTGCAAACAATACTGTGACTGAGATTTATTTAAATCTTTTATTCTAAGGGTTGTGCTATTAAAACCCACGGTAAATAAGGAGAAATGAACATTGTTGCCATTTTTTTAACAATATTTTCTCTTTTCCTTCTCTTCCCATCACCTTTTGCTTTTGTTTTCATGTTTTTGGTTGTGGCTCTTCCTGTCCGTCCCTCCCACCTCTGCCTGTCACTCCGTCCCTCCCGTCGTAGCATGGCAAGGCACTGACCTGATGCATAATCACGTCTTGGCTGACGACGACCAATCAAGTCTAGACTCCTTGGGTCGTCGCAGTAGCCTTTCCCGTGTGGAGCCCTCAGACCTCTCGGAAGACTCTGACTATGACAGTATATGGACAGCCCATAGTTACAGAATGGGTTCTACATCTCGTAAGAGCTGTTGCTCATATATCTCTCACCAGAACTAATGCACTTCTGAGCTTTTCTTAACAAATGCTTGTTGTATCGCAGCCTGCTTTTCTTAGATGTTTTCTTGCTGTTCCTTGTCTTTTATGTGATATTTTAACAACTTTTGAGAGCGTTTCTGATACTTCCCATTGTATTTTGTGGAGGCCCAATTGCCAATCTGACCCTCCGTTCAAGTCGCTGCTGTTGAAAGAGATGGTGTGCTCACGCGGCCCGTGCCCGGGGTTCTTTTCTCCGTGGGTAGTGGCGGTTTCGCAGCTCCGAGTGGTTTGGGTTTTTATTCTCAGCGTAGCAACTGTCTCCTTTCTTTTTGGATACAGCTGTGTGAACACTTTTATATTTTATACTGAAACCACACAGGTTTGTGATGAAAAACAACACGGAGGTGGCTCTGGCCTTACGTGGGGATCCAGGTTTTTTTTTATGTACGATGGACCCACTGACAAAGTAGTTGAGATGGGAGAAGGAAGCGTGTAGTCAGGGGACTGGGCTCAGTCCAAACACTGTGCTCTGAGAAGTCCTCAGGGCACATGGTGACCATGGAGAGCCGGGTGTTGGTGTGGCTGGCAAGGGCTCTGTGCTCGTCCGTGCACCACACATGGCCATCCTGTGTCCCCGTTTGTCTATGGGGTGGGGGTCGTCCAAAGGCCAGGTACTGTCAGAGCTCAGACCCTCCCCTGCGCCATGATGCCACATTCCCCTTATTTGGAGTCCCTCCCCGCTGAAGATTAAATGCAAACTCTGACGCGCAGCCTCTGAAGGTGTACGTGAGACTCCGTTCAGAGAGGCGTTGGCTGTACCCCGAAAGGTGAGTGCTTGGCTTCAGCCCCAGCCCAGCTGCGCCCCGACACCCACATCACACTGCCTGAGATGGACGCGTTTGTTTTCAGCGAGTAGCTGCGGTGAAACTCCGTTTACAGCAACCCGTCCTGTGTGGGCCTCCTTGCGTGGCTGGGGGCCACCTGAGTCCACTGAAGCCCTACGCTGCCGCGTAACTGGCTTAGAAGAAAATCCCAGATTTGGAGGGGCTCCCACACTTGCCTGGGATTTGTTGTAAGGGGATTTCACTGGTATCCCTCATGTGAACTTCTGCTTCAGGAAGAACTGAATGTGATGCTTTGCATTCAGTTGTGGCACCCGGATCCACGTGTGGTCATTGCCACGGTGGAGAAGCGCCCTCCCCCACGCATGCTGCACTCGCTGTGAAGCATTCAGTCAAATCGGCTTCAGAAAGTCCAACGCCACGATAGCAGGGAATCTTCAGGGTGGCTGTGGCTTCTCCCCCACACCACATACGCACTGCCCGCCCGTGCTTGCACCACGTGCCTGCTGGCGGGCCTCCGGGGCCTGTTGCTCTCGCACCCAGAGGGGCTGGTGGCCCCCTGCAGCGGCCTGGTGCTTAGGGAGTCAGACGGCTGGAGGACTGCGTGCGGGGAGGTTGCGAGGAAGACCTAGCGTTCCAGGCCTGTCTGTTTCCAAATAGCTATTGAGCTGCTCACGCCATCTGGAGATTTCCTATTTTTTGTATCAATTAGTATAAAAAAGTTGAGCAATCTTAAAATTAGAGCCCAGTATTAACCCACGGTAGAGACGGGGTTTGTATGTGGTCAGCCAAATAGCAAAGGGAATTTGGGGAGAAACAGAGCTATGAAGTTCACGAATGAACTTAGAAGCAGTGGTTTTATTTTGTGTATGTACTGCAGTCCCCTTTTCTGATCATCATGTTAGAATGTCCTTTGGTTTGCTTTGAGGCTGTCCCTGGTGTGTTGGCTTAGATGCCTCTGCCAGGCCCGAGGGGCTGCAGGCTGCCCAGTCGTGGGCCGCGCACAGCACAGCGGGCAGACGCCGTTACTTGCACTTGGGTTTTCTGTATTGCCAAGTATCACTGGGGTCCTCTTCCCGAGCCATTTCCTTTTCTGTTCGCCAGGGTTTAACCCTTTCCCATCGGTTCTCGGCTCCCCGTAAAGCCCCGTGGGCAGGGGTCCCGCTGCAGCCGGGGTCACCGCAGGACAACAGCCTGCCCTGCTCTCGTGGTTCGGGCTTGTGTGTCTGCACCATTGGCTCTCGTGGCCTGGTCAGAGTGTCAGTGCCACGGGCTGGAGGCGGCCCCCTGTGTGGCAGTGGCGACGTGGCCGCAAAGGGGGGCTGGGACCCGCCCCCTGCGGAGCTTCAGTCCTGGGGAGAGATAGTCTCGTTTGTGCGGCTCTGTCCTGGTCGCGTGCGCAGTCAGTGCTGTAGCGAGAGGGGAAGACCCTGAACCCACAGGTAGGTGCAAGCCACCCCCGGGCCCTGAGTGGGGCCTCCGTGGCGGTGCCATTAAATTTACACTTGCCACAGTATATAAGCTATATTAACTACGTGTTTTGCGTAAGGTTGCCAAAACACAGTAATGTGTAAATAGTGGTTTAAGACCTTGAAAAAAATCTATATATTGTGCTTTTTCTCTGTGAACGGGAAAGCCATTTCTAGTGGGTGACTGCCATTTGAAGACCCCATTGGATGTGAACCTGATGTTGCATTGTATTGTACGGTATGCATATTACTGTCTGTGGTTGCATACGGCCATGACGTGTGTTTTATAATTTGAAAAAAGACATCTGTTATGTACAGTTGAAATAAATTTTGCATTTGCTAGCCTGTGGCCTTTAATATTTGTTACCTGGGGGAGGGAGGGGAGTAGCCTAGATTGTAACTCATGTGATGGGGCTGCTTTCCTGTTAAGTTGTCTTCCGGAGGAAGGCCCGCTAATGGGACGCTTTCCTCCCGCTTCGATAGGGAAATGTGCACTTTCTTAGATGAAATACGTTCTGGAAAAAACAGGGTCACTCCTTACACGTTTTTATTTTCTCTTTCCAACAAGTTTTCTGTCACTGGAAGGTTAGTCTTGAGAAAGAAGCATTCTTGGTTTTTTTGTGCATAAACGGAAAAAGAAGCCTCATTTTAATAGTGCTTTTTTGGTTTTGCTTGATTTCTTATTCCTTTTTTCTTTTCCTTGGGACTAAGATCAGTTCTAATGTCGGTTTTATAAAGTGCATGCCCGGCTGGCCGAGGGGAGAGAGAGGTGTCAGTACAAGGCTAGAGCAAGGTGCAAACACCTGTAAATCTCCCTAAAGAGATTCCTCACATTTTCCCAAGAAAAAAACAAATTCTTTGATAGTCAGTAAATCACAAAGTGACTTTATGGAAAGATTTTTATTAAATAGGTTTTGAAAACCTGTAATATTTTCCTTCATTCTGAAAGTTCAGTTCTAGTTGAGTATAATTAGATACAGATATTTAGGAAGATTATGAATTTAAGAAGTTATGGGAGTTTGTCCCCAAACGTACCAGACAGCTGGCCAGACAGGCCCATGGTCTTTTCTGGCAAACTTAATGCTGTTTTTAGACTTGCGATGAAGCCAGCCCATCATCTGTGCGCGTGTGCACGCGCGCGCACACACACAGACACACACACACACACACCCCAAGCGTGCACCCTGGGGTTGACCCAGCTGTGTGTCTGACCAGGTGGGTCTCCAGCAACGGAGAGTTGCCCTGGGCTTTGAGCCCCTGCTCTGTGTTGCCCAGTTAAGTCCTCTGTGCATGTTTCTCAAAGACCCCCGGTGCTCTGAGGACCTGTAATGTGGGAGGGGGCAGGGTTCCACGGGTCTCCAGCTTCTCAGTCACGCCTCAGTGAGCCAGTTCCTGGTCCCAGGCATTCCCCCCCCCCCCCCCCCCCCCCCCCCCCCATGATTCCCCCCCCCGTCAATGGTATCTCCTCAATGTTGAATCCAAAAATCTTTTTTCTTTTATTTTTTTAAGTTTTATTCCAGGCCCTCCCCCCCCCCCCCCCAGCTGCATGGTGCAGAGTGACCCCTGCTAGGGGCAGCGTGCAGCTGCCGTGGCCCGTGTGTGGGTGGGTGTCCGTGGCCACAGCCCAGGCAGCTGCACCCAAGTTCATGGGTGTCATCCAGTTGGAGAAACGCTGGGTTGGTGCTAAGTGTAAATAGTCATGTCATTATCTTCACGCCTGTACTGGACAGCAGACATGTGATTACAGAGGCAGACAGGCCTAGGGGCGGGCCAGCACCACCTGTGCGGGGGGCACCGTGGCTCAGAGACCTGCGATGCTTCTGCACTCTGATGACCTTAGGGCATGCTGAGTTAGAGGAAGTAGGTATTTTTACTGCAGACCTTCTGAAAACCTTCAGCACGCTGCCTGTTTCCTGCGGACCTTTCCAGAAGGGGATATAGGAGTCAGCAGTTTCCAAAATGACATGTGGCAGAAACCCCGGGTCACATGGGGGAGGGACGACAAAGTGTTCCCCAAACTGAGAAGGCACTTTGAGACTGGAAGAGGAAGCAGGCGACTCCACGCCATTTACACAGAGCACTGGGGACCCCCTCACTGACGGGGTGCTGGATGGCTCCTCCCTCCTGACGGGGTGCTGGACGGCTCCTCCCTCCTGACGGGGTGCTGGACGGCTCCTCCCTCACTGACGGGGTGCTGGATGGCTCCTCCCTCCCTGACGGGGTGCTGGATGGCTCCTCCCTCCTGACGGGGTGCTGGATGGCTCCTCCCTCACTGACGGGGTGCTGGATGGCTCCTCCCTCCTGACGGGGTGCTGGATGGCTCCTCCAAGTAGCCCAGACTTTCATCCACAGGGGGACCCCCTCACTGACGGGGTGCTGGACGGTTCCTCCGAGGAGCCCAGACCTCTGTCTGCAGGTCGTATGGAGCAGAGGACCTCATGTTGCCACTTGTGCGCCGGTCAGGGTAGAGGGGCGGGGGATGGGGAGAAGCTTGTCTGCTTTGGTCAAAGCACACATCACCCCCGGGGGCCAGGCCCGGCGCAGTAGCCCAGAGGGAGGTCATGGTGTGGGCGGGGACAGCATGGAGTCAGTACCGTCTGTGCCCGTATCCCCTTAACCTCCGGGAAGCACACAGTTTGGGAAATGCAGACTCGAATGTGCTGCAGCCATCGTGAGCCCATTTACCTGTGTCTCAGCCCCCGAGAGGGTTTTAAATAAAGTGACAGAACATTCTTTGTGAGTTCTGTTATTTTTCCAGACTAAGTAATTCAGGGAAAATATTGTGATCCATCTAAAAATACTTGAGTAATTTTTGAGATGTTAAATCTGCTTGGTAGAATTTGGCTGTTTCTATAGAACAAATGTAGTTATAAACCTGGCTGGAGAATATTATTGTTTAACTTTCTGGAAGACTAAATTTTCTGTCCCTTTAGAAAAGTATTACATGGAAACTGGGCAGGTTAGTAGCATCCCTAGATTTCTCTGCAGGCTAGTAGGGAATCTTCATTTATGTGCCTCCTGGCTCACTCTCTGATCCGTACGTGGCATTTTTCACACTAGCATCTGTCAGGAATCAGGCAGTTAGTACGTTCTGCCCAGAACACATTCTCAGATTAAGTTTTTATAATGAAGTCCGGTGTGCTTTCAGCATATTTCCAAAAATAACCATCATGTATGTGTGAGCCCCGTACCAGTTCTCACGGGCTTGGTCCACTGGTGTAGCTACGTTACGTAACGGAAGGTTTGCTTGTCCTGGTGCTCAGCGGAGGGGGACCGCGCCTGCTGTCGGGCCCGTGTCCCTGTGACGCAGCCCTTGTCTCTCCTGCTGTCTGAACCTGGAAGTGTCGGTTACGCCTTCTGGGAGCGGCTGCCCAGGAAGCTGGGAGATGTAAAAGTGCCTGGAGAGAGAAATGCCACCACACGGACTCTGCATCCTGTGTGTCGTTAGCGAGTGCACGCGAGGAAGCGTGTTTCCAGCCGGCACCTGCTTTTGACCAGACATGACTCAGAGCAGGTGGCAGCAGGCACGCACAGCAGGCAGCTGAGTTTCTGATGACGTCTCTTCACGGCAGAATTCACTGAAGCCATTGGTTTTCCACACATGCGGTACGCACATTGAGTTTTTATGAATCCTTTTCAGTTTTTGTGGGGAGAGTAGCACACAAACGAGCCTTCCCAGTGCTCATGTGCGTCCTGCTGCAGCTGCGTCCCCAGTGCGGGACATCATCCTCAGCGCAGGGTGTCGCACCGCCTTCAGAATCTGTCCCTTGGCTGGTGCCGCTCAGCTTCTGTTTGGCCCAGAAGGGCCTAGAAGATACGCCCGCAGCCCCTCGCGGAGCCGTGGTGCCAGGAGCAGGCGATACTCCAGGAGGCGGATTATCAGCACAGCGATGTCTTTAACAGACCCTCAGGGACCACGTCTGGAAGATGTCACCGTCTCCGAAGAGCAGCTTCCCTTGTGGTGGGGAACCGTGACAGGGTGGCGGGCGGCCCGGCGGTGAGGGGTGCGGCACAGCCAGGGGGGTGCAGGCTCCAGGCGTGCAGCGCGGTGTGAGCAGGGAGGCAGGTCAGACGGTCATCCCGAAGTAGTGCCGATGCCAGCTGTGGCTTGTGCCCAAGCTCTCTGCGCTCTGGCTAGAGTACCGAAGTGCTCAGCCCCCGAAAGCCCGCCCTTTCCTGGTACGAAAAGGTGCTTGTGTGTTGAAGCTCGTGCCGTGTGGCCCAGAACAGTTCCCGCCTGCCTGGAGTCCGTCTTCTCGTGCTTGAGATGACAGAGGAGGAAGACGCCTGCGTCCTGGTTGAGTTCAGTTGCTGCTGTCACAGTTGCAAAGCGTGCTTGCATTCGGTGCCCTTCCCAGCGTCTGCAGTGGGACCGAGCGACAGAAGGAGGCAGGCAGTACGGCCAAGGCCCCGTGGCCGGCAAACTCCCACCTCCTTCCTGCGGCCTGCTGCCGTGGAAACGATATCAGAGACCCCGCACGGCAGGATCCTCCCGTGAGCACCCTTGCCGTCGAGCTCTGATGGGGGTAAATCTTGCTCAGAGGACCGTGAGCTGACACTGAAATGCTGGTGGATAGATCCTGTCCTGCCGCGTGGGTGTTCTACTGAAGGTCCCCTGACGGCTGGCACACAGCCAGCCGGCCCGCACTTTGATGAACTTGTAGGAAGGTGGGCTACAGGTGAACCGGGAAGAAGCAAGTTGTGCCAGCAGCTCCGTAATTAGCACATAACAAATATCAAGTGTATTGTTTTCATGTTTTTTGTTTTTTTTTAGTTTATTTGTATTTTTGAGGGAGGTAGAGACCGTGTGAGCAGGGGAGGGACAGAGAGAGAGCGAGCGAGAGAATTCAAGCAGCCTCCACGCCGTCAGCACAGAGCCCAGGGCTCAAACCCACTGAGCCGAAACCAAGAGTCGGATGCTCAACTGGCGGAGTCCCCCGGGCGCCCCTAACATACTGTTTTTATTGAAGAAATTTTGCAACTGTTTGTGTTCTTTCCTCAAATTTGTACCTGACATTTTTCAAAAGTATAAATGTTACAGTGCTGTATGTAAGAAAATAGAATCTCAAGGCTTTTTTTTTTTTTTTTTTGCGCCCTTAAAATTTGAGTCTCTTTTCTGACCTGTTGAAAAGCTGGGCTTCCCAGTTCCGAAAGTACCTATTTTGTAGCAGGCGCGCACCAAAACGGGGCCCAGTTCAGCTGCAGGGCTGCGCACTGGATCAGTGGCACCAGCTTCCCTCCAGCGTCGTCTGTGGTTTTTACCACCTTTTGTTTGGAAAAATGTTTATGTTCTAGGGAACGGAGAATAAGGTTTTCATGCAAGAAGTAATAAACCTCACTTTTTCTAAACTTCGTGCCCTAATCTTTATTTTTAACTGTCGCTGTAGAGTTAAATGTTTCACTAGTTATATGCATTTATAAGCACCCTGTGTACACGTACCACCGTCTGATTCGTGTCTAAGATGCCCAGAACAAGACGGCTCACAATTAGATTGATTCCGATAGTCCCCTCAAATTTTTTTGATATTTATTCCAAAATGTCCAGTGCACTGTGGTCAGAACCTTTAACTTACTAGCTGTGGACGATTTCAGGATTTAAAAGATCCCTAATCCCAACTCAGGAACTGAAGCTTAATAAATCGCCAGAAGGCTACTGCTTCTTTCCTCTACGATGCTTTCGGCATGAGAAGGACTGGGTTTGCTAGACGGAAGTGGAGAAAACTGGCAAAAGTCGCCATTTCCTATTTTACGTAGAGAATTTTTAATGTACGGTCCTTGGATTTCGTGTTAACGTTTACATAGAGTTGTAGAGTTGGGTGTCGAGTTCCGTCGTGGTGTTCACCTGCGGGCTTTGCTTTTGTTTTTGTGTTTTTGATGATCTAGGTTCACGCAAAGAATCTGCTCCCCAAGTTTTGCTTCCAGAGGAAGAGAAAATCATAGTTGAAGAAACTAAGAGTAATGGTCAGACAGTGATAGAAGAAAAGTAAGCTACGTCCCCGCCTTTCAAAGTGGGCACGTGGGAGTGGGGAGGGGGCAGGCGGCCGGGGCACTGGAGCCAGTGCCCTTGATCGATTGGCATTAGCTTCGAGCAGGCTGTCGTGACGTGCACGGATTTGGATATTTTCTGAGGAGGCTGTCGTGCCTCCAGTAAAGAGCTTCTGCGTGTCCTCGCTCCTGCCCTCATTCAGGTGTGTGTTCATCCTGTGTTCATCCTGCTCTGTTTCAGGAGCCTCGTGGATACTGTCTACGCATTAAAGGATGAAGTCCAGGAGTTAAGACAGGTGAGTCATAGGCGGCCTGCTAATCTTGTTTTTACGGGAGGGAAAGGGGAAAACACATGAAACTTGAGGCCATTTGTCCGAGCGCAAAGTAACACAGAGGGGAGAGGTCCTCTCTCTCAGAATTCCGGCAGGTGAGTTTGGTCTCCTGTGCCTCCCTGGCACAGACCAGGAAAAATGAAATTTTTTAAGTATTTTTTTAAATATTTGTTTATTTTGGGAGAGAGCAGGGGAGGGGCAGAGTGGAGGAGGAGAGAGGGCCTCACTGTCTGCACAGAGCCCGATGCGGGGCTCGAAACCACGAACCGTGAGGTCATGACCTGAGCCAAAGTCGGACGCTCAATGGACTGAGCCACCCAGGCGCCCCAGGAGATGAACTTCTTGATGTGACCTGTTTAAATTTTTTCCTGTACAGTTTCCGTCATAAGTCGTCTCAGGTCCTGTTGGAATAATCATTTAAAATACCTAAACACCCTACCGTGATTAATCTTTGCCACTTGCTTGTGTAACTCACGGTTCTTGTTCTTAAGAAGTCAGGTGACCTGGTTAAGTGAGCATATTTTGTGTATTTGTGGAGAGCTCCCTGCACGACGGCTCTGGTCTCTAAGGAGCCCAGTGAGCCCTGCGTGGGAGGTGGCGGCTGGGGCGCGGCTCCCGGTGCCTCTGCTCCGACCTCGAGGGAGCTCGGCAGCGGGTCCGTCTGTGTGCGTGTCCGGGAGCGATGGGGTCGGGGCGCGGGAGCGGACCCGTCAGCTGCTGCCGCCGTGGTTTAATCCAAGATTGTAAGATGGTCACAGACGAGGGTCCTTTCGTCGCTTGTAGCCGTTGCCTTGCGCTCTGTCGGGCGGAGGTTGTCCTGATGGACAGCGATGGGTGTCGGCTGCCAGGAGCGTCTGTGCCCGTGTCCGGACGGTCCTGGTGAACATGCCGGACGCCAGCCTGGGACGGGCCCTCCTGAGCACCCGCGATGGTCAGCGCCCCGTGGTCTGCTTCGTTTGCAGGATAACAAGAAGATGAAGAAATCTCTGGAGGAAGAGCAGAGAGCCCGCAAGGACCTGGAAAAGCTGGTGAGGAAAGTTCTGAAGAACATGAACGATCCTGCCTGGGACGAGACCAACCTGTGAGGAGCGCCCTTGCCTCTTCGCCGAGACCAGCGAGGAGACGGGGCCCAGGGGAGCGCGCGGGGCCCCGGGGCCGGGCCGGACAGCAGTCTCCGTTCCGTGTGTGGGAATGCTGGAGTTGGTCACGCAGACAGGAACGGTCGCACTGTCCCCGAAGAACCCACGCATGAGGTGTAGACCCTGAGGGCAGGACCGCAGTAATTTTACTCTGTTAACATCTCAATTACCTCATTTTGCAATAAGTGCAGTGACTACAAATCCTGGTGTTTCAGGCTTTTATTGAATATATATGATTACACTTGTTTCTTGTAAATACTCCCATTTTGAAGGCACATCCATGCTGGTCCCATCCGGGCTGATTGTCCGCCCAGAACTCCCCCCCTCTTCCCTTCCCACTAACCTTTCTGGCCCCGTGAACAGGTGTGCCCCCGGAAGGCGGGGTGCGAGGTCGCTCACCAGACGCCTAGTTTGCTCTCTGGAGTCCCCGCGTGCCTCCGCTCTGGCAGCCTAGTTAGCCTTACGTCTGCAAAGATACTTTAACACCCTCGGAAGTCTCTGTTGAAGCAGAATCGCGTCACCGATATGCGGTGGACCTGCGCGTGGTGCCCGGGCTGAGGGAGGGAGACTCGGCTTCCCAGGAGGTCCCCGCACGCCGCGGTGCCCGGCTGCCTCGGGAGAGCGTTCGCTGTACTGGGGAGAGCAGACTTCTCACGCAGGCTGGTTCAGTACCCTGACAGCGCACCGTTGTGTCTTCCCCACGAGAGAAAGCTTCACGAGAACCTGTAAATAAACTGTATTATTTATTACGTATCCCTGAGGCCAACGAAGGCACGCCGGGGATGCTGTGGGCTGGCGTGGCCCGTGGCGGTTGGGAGTTCGTTGTCAGGCCACTTTGAGCTCTGTTCACCAGCAGCATGCAGCAAGCCTTCAGTCCTCACTGGGAAAAAGAAATGTTTCCTTCTTTCAGTGAGAATAAAGCAATATAAATCCCGCCTACAGTGATCCAAGTGTAAATGTGGGTCCCTGCCCCCCCCCCCCCCCGTGCCTCCACAGCAGACGAGACGGGAAGCCTGTCGGCCTGCAGCTCTCTGGGCAGGGACGCGGGAGCCTCAGGGCCCCTGGGTGGGAACCGCGACCGCGGAGGCAGGACACCCGCGTTACGGGAACTGCTCTCTGCTCCCCTCTTCTCAAGAGGTCAGCTTTAAATCGAGAGAAGCCTTTTCACAGAACGGGTGTTCGGTCTTTCAAAACAGAAGCAGTACCTCTGCGTTACAGACTTCTCAGAAATACCCACGTGGCCTCAGGTGTGACGTGGGCCTTGTGATCTGTGGGTCAAGCCACCCTGTAAGGGCATCGGGATCTTCCGATGCCTTTGAACTGGATGGCTTTGGAACTCGGCTCTCTGCTCACCCAGGCCCTTGCAGAGCGCTGTGCCCCACGCCCCCATCTGCTGGAGGGCACCGGCTTGTGCTGGGCCCTCCTGGCCACGTGCCCGGCAGGTGGGTCTGTGACTCAGCATTGACCCGCCCACGTGTGGCCTTTCCAGTAGAGTTGCCAACTTCGTGCCCTTGGTGTTTGTTAGTGCTGGGGCTGGCAGGGGGCCTTGTTTCGGTAAGCCCTGTTTCACAGTAGGCTTTGGTGACGCAGAAGACCGTGCGGCCTCGAACTCAGGGACGGCCTCCATCCCCGCTCTCCCCACCTGCTTCTGAGGGGCGCTGTTGCTGGCAGCATCCCAGGACCGGAGCCTTGAGTGACGACACTTGTTTCTTCCCCGTCCCCGCCCTAAGGGGGGCGTGTTCCCTCCTCTCCCGCAGATCCGGGATTTAAGCTTTTTCGGGAGCAGAGAAAATGCATCCGAGAGCAGCTCTTTCTACAAACCTTCCCTGTTGTAAATAGGTTGCTTATCTCTCCGACCTTCCAAGGGGCGGGGGTCTGGCCGGGGGGCTAAAGGGCCCCGTTTACCGCAAGGGCGAGGACACGATGCACTGGCAGGCCTGCACGATGTCGCGGTGTGGGCCGGAGACCGGCCTCTGCTCCTGGGACGTGGGGCGCCTCTGGCTGTGTGCGCCTGCCTCCGCCCTCCCGCCCCAGTTCTCTGTAGGACACACAGCGTCCCCGGTGACAGTTGTGGGGCCACGTCCTGTAAATGCCTCAGAGCCTGGCATTGGCTGTTCCTGCTACATCGCTGCAATTATTAAACTGACTCTCAAGTTATGACATCACTTTATCTTCTGTGATGTGTTTTGTGTCGTTTCTTAGTGCACGTTACCTTTATGCTTTTGACTTAACTTTTTTTTAAGTTTGTTTATTTTGAGAGCGAGACCACGTGGGCGGGGGCGGCGGGGTGGGGGTGGGGAGAGAGAATCCCAAGAAGCGGGCTCCACGCTTGCAGCACAGAGCCCGACATGGCTCGAACTTGCGAACCGTGAGATCATGACCGGAGCCAAAATCAGGAGTCAGGTGCCTAATCAGCTGAGCCACCCAGGTGCCCCTCTTCTGACTGAAATTAAGAAAAATTCTGGTTTAAATTTTTGATGTTGGAAAAATCATGTTTGCCTTAAAGTCTGTGGTTTGGGAATCCCTGAAGCCAAGTCCCACTAGGAAAAGGCTGTAGGGAAGGAAGGGGAAGGAAGAGCCGGCACCGTTAGGGCCTTTCTACTCTCTGTCGAAGGCGGGCTGCACATCCTCGAAGCTGCTCAGTGACGCCCTCGTGGGTGGATAGGGATAAGGTCCCCCGGGGTCCTTACATGAGTGGCTTGCCACAAGAGTGACAGACGCTAGTTGCTCGTGTGTTTGTGCGCGAGCCTTGCCCTGCCCAAGACTCCCTCCTGGCAGCCGCTCCGTCCAGGCGGGCGCGGCCGGGGCCCGCGTTCTGGGAAGACGCAGCCGCGCTGGGAGCAGGTGGATCGCCCCCTGACGCTGCCCCTTCCCTCTGAGCTCCCACCTCAGTCTGAGAAGGTGAGCGGCACACATCCCCGTCCCCACGGTCTATAAAACCTTGTAAGGTGACTTGGTAACTGGCACTGTCCTTTCTCCCAGATTCTAGGGAGACCAGTGGTGGCACGTGTCCCGCAGAAAGACCAGTCTTTCCTGGTGCTGGTGTTGCGTGCATCCGCGTGGTGCCTCACATTTTCCCTGGAGCCCTGGTACACCCCCCCGCCCCCCAATCCTTTAGAGGGCAGGCCATCCCTGCAGCCGTGAACCTGGCCTGCAGCGGAAAGCGGCAGCTGGGAGCCGGGCCGTGGGGACTGGGGGAAGCAGCTGCCGCCCCGGGGTCGGCGCGCCTGGTGTGCACCCGGCCACCACATAGTGTCCAGTTTCCGGCTGGGATGGGACCTTCAGAAAGCCCCTTGCGTTGACTTGCGTTATGAGATGGGAGCTGCAGTGACGACTAACTCAAGTCTGTCGTTCGGGGGCGTTTGTTCTTACTTGCTGGTCTGTATGAACTCCCCTCCCCGGGGGGGACGCACGGGGACACAAGGTAAGCAGCCTGCCTGCCCCCACCCCCCTGCCCCGTTCCCTGCTTCCACGAAGGGAGCCGGTGTGACCGGTCTCGTTTCCGTGGTTCTCTCAGGCAAAGGCACATATGTGGTGTTTGTGCGGGTTTGTTCCCCACGGTGAGAGCACGTTGTGTTCTCTGACCTTTTGTTTAAATCCAGGTGGGAAAATCACGGCCCCCTGTGCCACAGCATAAAACATCCGCATAAATATCCCGCTGACGGGAAGCATCAGCGTATTTCAGTGACCGCCTAGCAAGTGCTGGGGGCTCAGGGAACAGGTGTGTCGCCGAGGGCCCCAGTGAGTATCTTGTATGAGCCGGGTAGGTATTGCTCCATGGCTTATTTCTAGAAGCACTGTGTGTTTTAACTTTGGTGGAATTTGCCAGATACCTAGAAAGCACTGTAGGGGTCGCATTCTTGACGGCTCTGCGCTTCTGGGTTTTGAGAAGGGGGTGGAGGTCTGAATGCTGTCTGCAGCCTCTCCCGGGTGACTGGTGCGTACGCGCCCGCGCCGCGGACTCCCCTGTGAACGTGCAGCTCAGAAAGGCGGTCATGGCCGCGCACACCTGCCGGCCAGTGAGACAGCCCTTAGGAAGCAAGTGGAGCTGGCCTCAGGGTGCCGCCAGGACCTCCTCTCTGGCCCTGCCTTTCCCCTGCAGCTCCTCGAAGCAGAGGTGCAGGGCAGGCTCCTGGGTGCTGGTGGCAGGCGTCTGGCCCGGCTCCGGGCGGAGGGGACACTTGCTGAGGCTGTGACCCAGGCATTGATCGGTGCTCTGAGGGCCCAGAGTCTTGGGGTGCAGTGCCTGGGGGTGGTGGATAGGCAGGCTGGCGGCCTCCTGCGTGGTTCTGGGGGTGTCCAGGGGCTGGGGGCGCTGATCTCAGCTCAGTGCCGTCAGTCATGAGACACGCACACACTGTTGCTGCGCCAATCGGCTTTCTTCTACGGAGGGAGTCGAGCTTATGAAAGAGAGTAAAGAACGGGGGCACCTGGGTGGCTTAGTCGGTTAAGCGTCCGACTTTCGCTTAGGTCATGATCTCGAGGTTCGTGGGTTCGAGCCCCGCGTCGGGCTCTGTGCTGGCTGCCAGCTCAGAGCCTGGAGCCTGTTTTAGAGTCTGTGACTCCCTCCCTCTCTGACCCTCCCCTGCTCACGCACGCTCTCTCTCCTAGAAAAAAATAAAACATTAAAAAATAAATTAAAAAAAAAAAAAAAAGAACGGTCAGGGCCCCTGGCCTGCCCCGTCCCCGTGTGTGGAGAGTGGTCGGGGGGAGAGGCCAGGGCCCCTCACTTCTGGCCCTCAGTCACGGGGAGTTCTGCAGATTGCATCCTTTGTGTGTTACACATGCTTTTACAAAGCTGCTTTAGCTCCGCAGTTTCCCCTTTGGCCGCCAACCTGCTTCTCGCCCCTGGGCGGGTAGACCTCTCAGGAGACCCTGACGGGCTTCCGTCCGTGCCCACAAGCGATGCACCATGTGGCAGGGCCACTCTGCTCCCCCGGGGAAGATTCCCGGAGCGCCTCGTGCCCACCCAGCCGAGTGGACTTGGATCCTGTCCCCCCCACCCCATTCCCACAGCGGTGCACGCCTCCCCCACCCCAGGCCGCACGCCCCCCAGGCTGGTGGCATCTGCTGGAGGTTCTTGCCCTTCCAGAGCCCGTGCCTGAGCATTGCTGCTGTAGGTCAATTAAATCTCATTGCGTTCGTGACAGGTTAGTAGTTGAAATTCTTGGAAGTTGTAATGGGTCCCAGAGGTGCTTTTCCTCTGTCAGAAAACCAGGACGACACCCACATTGTCCCACGGGAAGACCTCACAGTTGACAACAGCTAGAACGATATCCGGTAAGTGCGGTCGCTAGTTACCCCGTGGAAACAGGACTCGGGGTGACGGACAATTCAGGCCACGCCGGCTGCTCCCTTTGCCCGGCCTCTGCCCTCCAGGGCGGCTCAGGTCGCAGCCAATGGCGGATAAGCAGATGTGCATCCGCACACAGTTCGGCCGCCAGAGGACCAGGCGCCGAGGCGCACCGCTCCGTGGATGGAGCTTGAAGCCACGAGGGTGAGAGCAGACAGCCAGCCACGGCCCGTGTTCTGTGCTTCTGTCGGTAGGAAACCTTCAGACAGGCAGGCCTTGCAGACGGGAGGTGGAGCCTGGGGGAGAGGGGGCCTACCCGGGCCGATGGGCTGTGATGGCTGCAGGCTGAACGCCCACCTGAAGTGGGGGAAGCGCATGCTGCTTGAATTACACGCAGGGGTGCTGGGCGGGCGTGTGCGGCTGCCTGACCCTCGGGCCCCCGGATACAGACGCTGCCGTTGACTGGGTGTCAGCTATGCGTTCGTCACCAGGTCTTGACCTTCATGCTACAGACAAAGTGACAAAGAGGGGGACCAGAGCCCACTCCCACCTGGCGTGACCCCCTGGGCTCCCCACCAGACCCGGGCCCTCCAGGCTGCTCTCACTGGGGGCTGGTCTCCTCGCCGACACCCTCTCCCAGCCGCCCTCATGCTCCTGGGTCCACCCTGTGCTCTGCGGCGGCCTGGTCATGGTTCGCCTTCCCCCAGGTCTCCCTGCCCCGGGGCCTTGACACTCCCTGGCCACTGCTCTCGGGGTCAAAATGGGACAGGTCCCAGCAGGATGCTGCCCTGACCCCCTCCCTTCCAGCTGCAGCTCACTGTCCCCGGCTCAGCCTCTGGCCTCCAGCGCAGCTCCTTAACCCCGTGGGGCGGCTGTTCGTGGCCCCCACGCCCCTCCTGCTGTGTCCTGGGGCCCCCTTCCCACCTGCGATCTGCTAGCACGCAGCCCTCCCTGGTGGGTCCCTGCTCCTCACCACAGTGGCCCAGGCGTGGGACAGGGACAGTCACCCGGCACCTGGGCATCACCACTTACCCGGGCGGGACCCAGGCTTCCCTTCGTCTCCCACACTTCGCGGACTCCCACCTCCGGGGCTGCCTCACCAGGTCCTGGGGCCCCAGCAGGCCCCTTCTCTGTTTCCACCGCACCAGCCGCCAGCTGCTCATCGCACCCCTGGGGTGCCCACCGGCCAGACGGGTCCATTCAGGTCTCCCAAGTGTGCGGCCTCCTGGTTTCTGAGGTTGGCCAGGCCTGCCTCACCTCAGGGCCTTTGCACTCGCTGCTGCTTCAGGCTTGCACACCCTGCCTCACTTCCTCCCCAAACTTTAGATGCCACGTAAGCCTGAGGCCACCCACTTGCCCTATGTAAGCAGAAATCAGCCCCCCGTCGCACTGGGCCCTCTTTTCCTCTGTGGCACGTCTGACCCGATGTGGTCTGTCTCCTTCCACGGGCCCCACGTCCCAGAGGTGGGGGGTTTATCTCAGCAAAGGTGGACACCCCAGGAAGGAGGAGCCAGGAGCGCAGGCAGGATGCAAACCCGGGGTTCAGACGCCGGGCCTGCGTGTCGCACAGGAGGGGGTCCCGGTGGGGTTCAAAGCCCCGTGCCTTGCACGTGGGGTCCTTCCACCTAAGAGCTGCCAGCCTGCGCCCTCTGTGACGTCACGGGGCCTGTGTGACATCACAGCAGGCAGGGCGGGCCCTCTGGCTCCAGCCTCACTGGTGGGAGCGGTGGGGGGACGAGGTGCCAGTTCGTTTGGTCCACAGTTGTCGGCTTGGAGCGGAACTGCGGGCGGTGTGGCGACAGGCTCAGCGGGGGCGTGGCTGCCAGGTGAGGCCGCTGCCCCGCCGGGCCCCGCCCCTGCCCCTGGGCCACCTCGGCCACCAGCCCCCCGCGGGGCCCCACCTGTGCTGACCCACCTGTGCTGACCCGCTCTCTTTCCCAGGTTCCCTCGACCCCCTGTCTCCTCCAGTCGCCACGATGAGATACGAGCCAGACTTCAAAAAGCCCCCCTCTCACCTCCTGAAGAAATTTGCAGGTAACGGGGAAGAGCGCCCTGGCGGCGTCCCCCCCCCCCGTGATGGCTGCCCCCCGCCCCCCCCCCCCCGGGTGATGGCGATTAGTCACCGCTGAGCCAGGGAAGGGAGCAAAGGAACATGTGCTTTCAGAACTGACGCAGGAGAAGCGCCCTGGGAAGCCTCCTTCCTGAGGAGCCTCCCCGCAGAGCCCCGGCCCCCGAGGCCTTCACAAGAAGCACGTCCAACTCAGGGCCTGGGCCAGAGCCCGCTCACCGGGAGGTTGCCAAGCTTACAAATGGCTAAAGAGCGACCTTTCCTCGAAGGGAGCGCTTTCCTCGCCAGCAAAGCCCGCCCCCCTTCCCTGGTGCCCGGAGCTCGGGGCTGCGGCTGAAATGCGGCGTTCAGGGAGGCAGGCGTCACTGGGACCCGCATGGGTGTCCTGGCAGCGTGAGACCCCGGGGGCCTGGTGAGGACAGGGGGCCGTTCCCGCCGCTCGCATGCTGACCTCTCAAGTGACCTTTCTCTGTGCTTGTGGACAAAAGATAGGAAAGTGGAAGGAAATGAAATTTTTTTTTTCCCTCAGTTTGGCTTGGAGCCCGGCCTGACGAGGGAGGGCTCCCGCCTGGCCAACCTTCCGTGAGACACGTTTCTCCCGTCGCCTGGTGGGAACCCGCCGAGGACCGAGCCCCCCGGACGCCCTCGGGGGCCGGTCTCGGGGGCTGCACCGCACAGGGCAGCCGGGAAATGGTCAGCGGGTCTCGCTCGAGGCCCCAGGGCCCAGGCCCAGGCTCCGCACCAGGCGGAGGGACTCACAGGAGGGGCTGTGCTTTGTGGTTCACGAGGCTCCGCGCAGAGGAGGGAGGTGGCCTGCACCTGGGGGCGCCGAGCGGCAGCAGGGACGGCTGCCCTGGCGCGTCCCCGAGTCCCCTGGTGGGAGCGCAGAGGACAGTCCGCTCTCTGGGCAGTGGGCGGCCTCTCCGGCCCCGGTCCAGGGCTGTGGGGCTGGGCCCGGTGCCCACCCTGATCTGAGGCCAGCCAGGGGTGGGTGCAGCAGGCTGGGGGCTTCCCTGCCCACACTGGCCTGAAGGGGGGCCTCCCTCCTGCTCAGTGACCATCAACTGCCCTTCCTCCAGCTTGGGGGGAGGTGGGCGCAAGGCTGTCAGTCATCCTCTGTAGATGTCGATGTGGCTGTTAAGTGTTATTACTCTGGGATGTGGGGGTGAGGTGGGACGGGGTGGGCAGGTGTGGGGGCTGGGCTGGCGGAGAGGGAAGGCAGGGGTGGGCAGGTGGGGGCACGGGACCAGCAGAGGCAGCCTGGATGCCGGTGGACTGGAGTTCAGGGCAGGGTCCATCTTAGTCTGCTGTGCACGTCCGGGCGACCCCGTCCCCGCCCCGGCCTCCCTGCCGCGGCCTCCCCGCCCCGGGCTCCGCTGCACCGCCTCGGGGTGTCAAGCTGCGCGTACAGGATGAAGGAGCGAGTGAGGGCGGTGTAGACGACACAGGGCCTCTACAGAGTGCCCGGCGCGGGGCCGGCCGTCGTCACCGCTGCTTGCCACCCCCCAGCAGGCGGCAGGCGCCCCCAGGCGCGTGTGGGGAGACCGAGGGGTTCACGGGGCGCTAGGGGCACAGCTGCCACAGGGCCGCCCTGAGCGTCCGCAGGCAGGCCCCCCCCACCCCGGAGCGGGCAGCCTGGGTTCTGCCTTGTCCAGCGCCTTCTGCGGGCCAGGCGCCCTGTCCCCCCGAGGGCGAGAGACCCCTCAGGTGACTCCCGCTCTGGGTCTGGAGGGAGACGCAGCGGGGCGCCTGCTTCCCGGGCTGGGTGCGCTGGCGGTACACCCGCGGCGGCTAATGTAGGGCCGCGGACAGAGCGTCCTCACAGCGTCCTGGGGTGGGGACACGGAGACGTGGCTCCTGAGGGGAGCGGGGTTTGAGCCCAGCCATCCGGCCGTGTGGCCTCCGCCTCACTGACAGGGACCTCGACGCGTAAAGTGGCGGCTGTGATGGCGCCTTGCAAACCGTCACGTGCCCACAACCCCCCTTTGTGGTGTTTCTGCGGAGCGGCTGGGGGGAGGGGTGGCCCAGGACGCGTGGGGGGCTGCTCCGTGCCCGTGGGGCCGGGGGGGGCGGGGGGGGCGGTGTGGGGTTGCTGTTGGGCGGGGCGGGCAGCGTGTGGCGGGGCGGTGCGGGGCGGCGCGGGGCGGGCGGTGTGAGGCGGCGTGGAGCGGGGCGGCGCGGGGCGGTGTGAGGCGGCGTGGAGCGGGGCGGCGCGGGGCGGTGTGAGGCGGCGTGGAGCGGGGCGGCGCGGGGCGGTGTGAGGCGGCGTGGAGCGGGGCGGCGCGGGGCGGTGTGGGGGGGGATGGCGCGGGGCGGGGCGGCGTCGGGGCGGCGGATGGTCGCCTGACGGTCGTCGTCGGGTGCGTTTGCTGGCCGGTCTCTGCGGGCTGTGGGGCTGGGCGGGGGGTCATGCCACGGAAGGGGACGGGATGAGACCTTCCCGTGTGGCAACTTCGCAGAAACGCTCCGAGACCTCGTGGGAGGTGCGGGCGGAGAGCACAGTCGGGGGGGGGGGCAGGGCCTCAGGTGTAATGGGTCACGGAGCCTCCGCGCAGGCGCTCGGGGGACCGGCCGCGATCGCAGACTGTCGCGTTAGAGCGACCGGGACGAGGACTCACCGACCCGTGCTTTCTCCTCCGCGGAGTCACCTGGAAGAGAACAGTCCCTGGACGGACCGCCTCCCGCCCCCGCCGTTTGCTGAGTAAACGTCGGCCGTCAGGGAGCCGCGTGGCGAAGGCGCCCTGGGCCCGCCGGGCGGGGCCGCACGCGCGGCGGCCGGGGCCGAGCGGGCCCTGCCTGGAGCCGTGCGGTCCCCGGGTCTGCGGCCGCCCTGGCTGCCCCGCGGGAGCGCAGGCGGGCGCCCTGGCGGCCCTGCTCCCCGTGTGGCCGCCCCGGGCGCCTGGGCGGGCCCTCAGCCCGGACCCCACCTGAGGCGGAGCTGGGCCGGCGACCGCAGGCGGCGGGGGAGGCCGCCCCCCCAGCGAGCCCGGCCGTCGTTGGGGACGGTGGTGCCGGAGGGTGACGGCTGACCGTCTCGGGTCCCGCCGCGCGTCCGGGCTGTGCCGCTGTGTCCGCAGTGGCCTTGCGGCCGCGCGTCTCGGGAAAGGGCAGGAGGGCCCGCGGGGTCCTGCGGAGCCCCTGCAGCTGGAGGCCCGCCTCCCTCTCCCTGGGAGCCCGAGGCCCGCAGGGTCCGGGCGGACGTGCTCACTGCGCGTTCGGGGATCACGCGTCCTCACAGCCGGTGCCGAGCTGTGCCGAGCACGGCCCCCGCCGGCACACTCCGCGTGTTCACTTCTGGGTTTTCCTGTTTTTGGACAAAACTGGCATTCGACGTAGTCCTTTGGTTCAGCTCTAAAATGCTGAACTAATCCTTAGCCTGGGTTGGTAGTTTTAACTCACCGTGTGCTTAAATGTGCTAATTACGCCTTCTCACCTGAACCCCCCACATCCGGTGTGTCTGACCTGTTCTCCGGCTTCTTGGCAGAGCGCCGGCCCCGGCGCTGCTGAGACGCTCCGTGTCCTTCATCACTGGGACCCTGCGTTACTCTGCGCAATTAACTTGATCTTGTTTTGTTCAGAAATCTAATTCGTTCTAGATCCTCACGTCAAAGCGAGGTTTGTCTGAAGGGTAGTTAAAAGCATAACAAAACCCCACAGGGCAAGCCCCGGGTGCCCCTCCCAGGCGCTGCGTTCTTGGTGACAGCGGCTGTGTGTGTCTGTGCTTTGCAGTGTGTGACATTCCTCTCTACGACATATGTGACTACAACATCACCAGAGACCGGTGCAAGGAACTGGGGTGCTGCTTCTACAAGGACGTGTGCTACGAGAAGGCGGTTCCCAGTAAGTGTCCCGGCCAGGCCCTCCCCCTGCTGGACAGGCCTCCGTCCCTCCCTGGTCCCTCGCTCTGCTGGGCGACTTAGTGGGCAGAGCAGCCCCGGGGTTGTTGGGGTTGGTGAAAGGTGAACAGTCCGGTGGGAGAGGCGGGCGTGCAGGGGGGCGTCCGCTGGGGCCCCTGCGGGAAGGGTGCTCTAGGGACGCTGCCTGGGGTTTGCTCTCACATCACAGCTTTGGTCTTCTGTGCCTCTAGAATTTTCTTTTCTTTTTTTTTAAATTTATTTTGAGAGAGAGCGCACGCACACACGAGCAAGCACCAGCAGGGGAGGGGCAGAGAGAGAGGGAGAGAGAAATGACCCCGTGCAGGCTGCTTGCTGTCAGCACAGAGCCCAACACAGGCCTCAGACTCCCAAATCGTGAGATCAGGACCTCAGCTGAAATCAGGGCTCAGACACTCAACTGACTGAGCCACGCTGCCCCTAGAATTTTCTTAATGTTTCCAAACCAGTAAAAAATTCCACGTGACAACTGATGTGTTTTCTTGGCCTGTGTGTGGCCTTTTGCGACGAGGGTGCTTGGCTCTCAGAGTGTTTGGAAAGGGACAGAAGAGTGTCTGCGATGGGGCGGCTGCTCGGGCCCCTGCCCAAGAGGAGGAAGGTGTCCGGCAGGCGGGAGGAGCTGGCCACGGGCGCCCAGCAGCCCCGGTGCGGTGGGAGAGCGCGTCCCAGGCCGCTGTCCTCTGTCCCCCATCCCCAGTGGAACAAGGCCCATTCGTGCTGCACGACGTGGAAGGGTTTCTTCTTGTTCCGCCTCTGAGCCCCAGGTGGGCTGAGCCCTCAGACAGACGTGGAGGCTTCCTCTCACTCCTGGACGTGGGAAGGCCTAGCAAGTCAGGACCCACTGGGACTGGTGACCGTTACCAAGGAGTGACCCATGGGGCCGCCTGGATCCCGCCCAAGCCAGCACCTTCGAGAGGAGAGTGACGTTTTGGACGAAAGGATTCAAGAAGCGAGAGCATCGGTGGGATCCTGGCTCGCCAAGGGGGGCACGTGTCTTGCTTCATGGTGAAGATTGGGCTCTCGGGGCAAAAGAAGAGGAAGTTTGGCTTCTCCGAAGGAGGCGCCGTCAGAGCCCATGAGAAGCACCATTGTCGGCTGGGAAGGTTTTCTGACGGCCGTTTCTCTTCCAGATCTGGACTTGGAAGACTTGGGTCCAGCCCCTCACTACTGATCTCTGGGAGACCCAGGCACCCCGGGGATCCCACACCATCCCCTTAGCCTGTAGATAGAAACAACTGGAAGTTACCTCTTTTTTGGTTATCTTTAATGGAGATCAAATTCCTGTAACATTTACCCTTTTAAAGTACACAATTCATTGGTTTTTGATATAGTCACAGAGTTGTGTATGCATCCCCACTGTCACTTCCAGAGCATTTTCGTTACCCCAGAAGAAACCCTGTACTCATCAACGGGAGAGTCCCCATCCCCCTCCTTCCAGTCCCTGAACCACCCATTGGCCCCTGTGGGTTTCCCTCTTCTGGACATTTCATATCAGTGGAATCCTACAGTGTGTTCCTTGTGTGTCTGGCTTCCTTCACATGATGTTTTCAAAACACATCTGCATTGTAGTGTGGGTTAATTGTCTGTTTGTTGTGGGGTGATAAGAGCCCTTTGCATATTCTGGATAGTAGACCCCTAATACATATGTGATTTGCAACTACTTCCCCCAATCTGATGGTTCTTTTTACCTTCTTGACAGGGTGTCTTTGAAGCACAAATTTTTCTGAGTTTTGACACCTGGTTTGTTTATATGTTCTTTGGTGTCCTAGCTAAGAAACCAGTGTCTGATCCATCTCTGTTACTTTCTTAAGAGGTTTATAGTTTTAGCTTATACATTCATGTCTTTGGTCCATTTTGAGTTAAATTTTTTACGTGATGTGGGGCAGGGATCCAACTTCATCCCTTTGCACATAGATATCCAGGTGTCCCAGCATCATTTGTTGAAAAGGCTATTCTTTCCCCCATTGAATTGCTTTGGCGTCCTTGGTGAAAATCAGGGTAAATGTGAGGGTTTATTTCTGGACTCTTTTATTCCACTAAGCTGGTATCACACCATTTTGATTAACTTTATAATAAATGTTGAAATTGAAAAGCATGAGTCTTCCAATTTTGTTCTATTTATTTATTTATTTATTTATTTATTTTACAAACAGTTTATTGTCAAATTAGTTTCCACATAACACTCAGCGCTCATCCCCACAAGTGTCCTCCTCCATGCCCATCCCCCCCTCCCACCCACATCCATCAGTCCTCAGTTTTTGTCAGCATTCAAAAATATGGAACGCTTCACGAATTTGCATGTCATCCTTGCGCAGGGGCCATGCTAATCTTCTCTGTATCGTTCCAATTTTAGTATATGTACTGCTGAAGCGAGCACCCAATTTTGTTCTTTTTAAAGGTTGTTTTGTTTACTGTGGATTTTTTGCATTTCCGTATTAGGATCAGCTTGTCAATTTCTAGAAAAAATGCCATCTGATATTTTGATAGAGGTATTTGTTGAATCTCTAGATAACTTGGGGGTGGGGTATTACCATTTTAATAATGTTAATTTGATCCATGAACGAGGGACGTCTTTCCACATATTTAGGCCTTTCTTTCAACAATATTTTATAGTTTTGAGTGTACTAATCTTGTGTTTCTTTTGTTAAATTTATTCCTAAGGATTTTATTCTCTCTGATGTTATTGTAAATGGATCTATCTCCCTAGTTTGGTTTTCAGAATGTATATAGAACCCTAGGCATATACACAAGAAAACTGAAAATTCCTAGAACATAGAAATACATCTGACTTTTGTATATTGATCTTATATCTGGCAACCTTCTTGGGCTCATTTAGTACTTCTCATTTTTAGTTGATTACTTAGGATCTTCTAGATATAAGAATATTTCATCAGCAAATAGAGATCATTCCACTTCTTTCTTTCCCATACAGTTGGTTTTATTTCATTTTCTTGCTTAATTGCCCCGGCTAGAAACTCACGGATTCTATTCGTCAGTGAGAATGGACATCCTTCTCTGGTTCCTGGTCTTGGGAAAGTGTTCAGTGTTTCATCATTAAGTATTATGGTAGCTGTGGGTTTTACTAGAGGCCATTTATCAAGTTGAGTAAGTTCCCTTCTTTTCCTACTTTCTGGAGTGTTTTTATTAGAAAAGATGTTGGATTTTATCAAATTCTCTTTCTGTAATTATTGGGCCCCTTAGTGATGCTCTGTATTACTAATGTGGACTTGAGTAACTGTCTGGTCTTCTGTTCTTTTATCTGGAAGGACTCCCTTTAGTATTTTTTGTAGGATAGGTCTGCTAGTGATGAAGCCTCTGTTTTTATCTGGGAATGTCTTTATTTGTCTTTCATTTTTGAAGGGTAGAGCTTCAGTGTATAAAATTCCTAACTGGCAGTCTTTTTCCATCAGCACTTCGAATATTTCACCTTCTTGCCCTCTGACCTCCATGGTTTCTGATAAGGAGTCTGCTGTTAATCTTGAGGCTTCTTTATACACAGCCTGTTTCTCCTCTTCTGCTGTTTTCAAGATTCTCTTTGCACTGTTTGTCATGTGTCTAGGTGTGGCTGTCGTTGAGTTTATCCTAATCATCAAATTTAGGAAGTTTCACCATTTCTTCAAACATTCTCCTTTGTCTTCACTCCCTCTGGGACTCCCATCGTGCACATTCGGTCCACTCCACAGGTCCCTGACGCTCTGTGAACTTTTCTTGATCCTGTTTTCTGTTATTCAGACTGGATAATCTCAACTGATTTATCTTCAAGTTTGCAGATTCTTTCTTTAGCCCATTCAAATCTAATGAGCCCCTCTAATGATGTTTTCATTTCTGTTACCAAATTTTCAACTCTAGAATTTATATTTTGTTCTAAAAAAAAAAAGAAGTTCTATCTACTTGGTGAGATACCATTCTTATACTTTAGCTCTTCAGATATAGTTTCCTTTAGTCTTTTGGCCATATGAAAAATTTTTTAATGTTTATTTAATTAATTTATTTCTGAGAGAGAGAGAGAGACCGAGAGAGACAGTGTAAGCAGGGGAGGGACAGTGAGAGGGAGTTACAGAATCTGAAACAGGTTCCAGGCTCTAAGCTAGCTGTCAGCACAGAGCCTGATGCTGGGCTTGAACCCATGAACCGTGAGATCATGACCTGAGCTGAAGTTGGACGCTTAACCAACTGAGCCACCCAGGTGCCCCTAATGTTTATTTTTGGGGGGGGGGGCAGACCATGAGTGGGGTAAGGGCAGAGAGAGAGAAGGAGACACAGTATCCGAAGCAGGCTCCAGGCTCTGAGCTGTCAGCACAGAGCCTGATGCAGGACTCAAACTCACGAACCACGAGATCATGACCTGAGCCAAAGTTGGACCCTCACCCGACTGAGCCACCCAGGCGCCCCTCTTTTGACCATATTTAAACTAACCGAGTTTAAAGTCTTCGCTCAGTGATTCCAACATCTGTTCTTCCTCAGGGACAGTTTCTATGGATGGTGTGTGTGTGGTCATACTTCTTTGCATATCTAATGGTTTTTTTTGTTGAAAACTAGACATTTAAAAATATGTGGCACCTCTGAAAATGATGTTCTCCTGCCTCCCCAAAGTTGTTGGTGTTGCCGTTGTTAAGTGACTTCTTCTGAACTAATTCTGTAAAGTCTGTCTTCTTTTTGGTGTGTGGCCAGTGCCGAGCTGCTTGGAAACGGTGTCACACAGTCTTTGCTCAGGGGCTGTGTGTGTGTGTTGGGGGCACACCTTCAACAGTCAGCCAGGTTTCAGCTGCGCCTTAATCTTTACCGCCTGTTTACGCAGAGCCTCGAGTTCAGCCAGGAGGGAGAGCCAGGGCCTTCTCAGGTATTTCCTCCATGCGTACAACATCCTGGAGTATGCCCATTGCCTTCCAGATTCCAGGGAGTATGTCACAGCTTTTCGAATCTCCCTATGACAGATAATTCCTCAGATTTTTCTTTTAGGCTTTATGGTCCACCTGTTGCCTGTCCCCAAGGGCTATCGGCCACTTTAGCTGTCATCGTTTTCCACAGTCACCTCCGACTGGTTTCAACAAGTGCCTGAGAGAAAGCTGTTCACGCTAAAGTAGCTCCAAGTCAGGTCAAACAAAGACAGCCTTGCAAGCGAGATCTTCTAGTGACACGGCAGGTGGATGAAATAATGCCAGTGCTTTGGGCCCGGGTTTGAAGGAGCTTCAGCCCTGCTCAGCTCCCTCCATTGAGTCCAGGCTGCTCGTGGCCACTGTGACTGTGGGCTGTTGGTTCAAGGCTCCCGTGGAATCGGAGGTGAGCTGGGTGGGAATAGGACAAGTTAAAATGTCCACAGGTCACTGTTCTTAGCGACAGTCATGTCTTGATCTTCAAGCTTTTGATTGGTTAAATTTCCGAGTTCTGAAAAAGTTGATTCTGACGAATGTTGCCAGTGTTCTCACTGGTTTTATGGAGAAGGCATCTGGTGGTGAGGGGCGGGGATCCTTTTCTGTCCTGATGTCACAGCGGAAATTCTGGGTCTCCTTCAAGGGAGATCGTAGCCAGCAAGGGCACACAGATTCAAGATGCCGTCACTTCTGTTTCCCTCTGTCCCTCCCCTGAGCCTCTCGTCACGAGAATTTTACTGAGGAGTTGGCCATCTTGTTAGCATGCAATTGAGACGCTGTTTACATTAACATCACTGCCTTAAGCCCGTAATTCATTTGAAAAATGAGCCAGCGCCTTTCCAGCACCTGACTTACCAGTGTCTGTAAGGAACCCAGAAAAGAGCACAAACTCTTGAGAATTTTTTGTCGTGGAAGTGACCTCACTGTTCTATGGGCGGGCATGTCGTTCTGCACAGAGACCAGCGTTAATTCTCCTCCGTCCTTTCCTGTTTGTCCAGGAGTTGCGTGGGCCTCTTCTTAATCCTGACTTGTTTCAGGCTCGAGGGGCTGGGCCATCCGTGGGAAGAGTCTGGGCAGTGTTCCCTACATTTGGGTTCTCACTGCGCCCTCAAGTTATTTTTCATTTCCCTGACATCTTTCTCATTCGAGACGGCAAGCGAACCTTTGTGCGGCGTAAGTTGTAGTATTCAGTGACAGGGTATTATGAGTTCTTTGTGCACATAATTCTATGTTAGGAAAACCTTTCACCGGCTTCTTAAATTGGCTGGTTTGAAGTGCATATTGTGTTGTGGCATAATCTGTATTATTAAGAATATGAACTTGGGGAATTAGCATTAGATCTTTGAGAACGAACTGGGAATTCAAAGAGAATGACTTGTCGTCATTCTTTAGTCTTGATTTAGGGCACATTATTTAACCTGTCACTTTTTCCAAGTGTATGACTTCTCTGTTTCTTCATGGGACTTCACGGAGATGATTTCAAAACTTCTAACTGTATCTGGGGGCGAAATTACCAAGAGATTTCTTAAAGAAAATTATACTTTCCTCTGTGGTTGCCATTTCTCTGTGACCAATCATAATTTCTGGTTTATGATAAACCATACATACTGTTTATGGCAAATCGTGTGCTGGCCAGCTCCTGCTCAGAGAGTCATGGAGATTCAGGGTCTGCCTCCAGGAACTTGACACCAAGGACCAAAATACTTGTATGTGTAAAGATGTGGAAGATACACTGAGACTTGAGTACTCACACATGGTCCACGTGTGTGTGTGTCTAATGGCTTCACTCACGTAAATTCTGAATTTACTCCATGAACTAAGGAACCCACTGAGGAGTATATATTCCCTGGAATTCAAGAATTTGAGCACTCCCTTTTTGTCCCTTAAAAGCTCCTGGTTCGCTCATTCACTTTGGTCATTGCACTAAGTTCATTCAGCGTTGTTTAAAGTGTACTTTCTCTGAGCCAAGCCCTTTGCCTACACCCTTGTATTAATTAGTTATTATTGCATAACAAATCACTCAAAATTTAGCTAAATAAGGTCACACAAGTACCAGAGGTTTGAACTTCAACAGATCACTTGAGGGGACACATTCCTAAATTGTGTCTAAATTGTCTAAAGTGACAGCTTAGAGACTTAGGTGGATGGTGTGGGGCTTGGCCACTCATCTGAGGGCTCAACTGGAGCCGGAAGGTCTTCTCCGAGGTGGCTCACTTTGCAGGCATGTGGTTCTAACAGTTAATAGCAACCCCTTTTCCATGCCGTGAGGTCTGCTTCCCCGTCCTTGTGAAATGACTGTCTCTCTCCAGAGCAAGTGACCTGAGAAAGCTAGGTGGAAGCCACAGTGACACTTTGTCTTAGCCTTAGAAGTTCCACCCTGGTTCAGAGGTCTGCTCCGTGTCACCTGGAGGATCTATGCTGGTGTGTGAATACCAGGAGATGAGCCGTCCCACAGGCCATGTTGGAGGCTGGTTATTCTAGCCCTGGAGATGGAAAGGTGAACTCAGGTGAACACATTCCCATGGGAAAGGCATCACCGAGGGAAGCCAGCCAGCTGATTAGAGCAGAGCCTCCAGCAAGCAGCTTGCCGACTGGTTCACTGCTGTGGCGTGCTGGTGACCACGCAGGCCAGTCCCCTCCTCTCCCTGCATCCTCTCCCTGATGCACTCTCAACCATGGAGCATCTTCTATGCCTGACCATCGCTTACTGAGCTCGCATCAGTATGAGAAAATGAGGCATTTGGGTTATGACCACCAAGCTGTGTGGCTTCAGCCCCCTTCATTTTTCTGACCTCAGCACCCATGGAAAGGACCCTGGAGGTCCCGTCCATGCTCAGAGACCCCCTGGGTCAGTCCAGAGAATATCATTCCCATTGGAATCACCCTCCCACGCCTGGGAGGCAGATTCCTCTGCGGCTGCTCCTTATTCTCCGTTGTGAGTTGAATTGTGTCCCCCCAAGTGGTCTGTCGAAGTCCAAACCTCCGGTACCTGTGAGTGTGACCTTATTTAGATACAGAGTCTTTGCGGATGTGATTAGTTAAGACGAGGGCACGCTGGCATAGGGCCTTATTCCAGTACGACCCGTGTCCTTCCGAGAGGAGCCGGAGATAGACGCACACAGTGCACACAGGAGAGCGTCGCATGGGGACAGAGTCACACGGGAAGATGCCTGAGATGATGAGGCAGAGAGGAGGTGACGCATCTGTGAGACAAGGACACCAGGGCGCACCAAGCCCACCGGAGCTGGAAAAGGCAGGAAGGACCCCCAGAGTCTTCGAGGGACACCCTCGTCTTGGACTTGCGCCTCCAGAACCGAGAGACCGACCGTACTTCTCTGTTGTGTTAAGCCGCCAGTTAGTGGTGCTTTTTTCTAGCTGCCTCACGACAGGATGCCGCTCCCAAGGGCATGGTGTCCAGTAGTGTTCTTGCCGGTCAAGGACAGGTGAAAACGGTTTAGGGGAGGATGTGAGCGACTTGAAGCACATCCTGTCACTCAGGGTAGGGTTTGCAAGGAAGCCGGTCTCTGTCCCTTGTGGGTGAGAGCAGTGAGAAGAGGCGGTGGTGGTGTGGGCATGCGCTACTCTCCGCAGCTCTGCCCTCCAGGCTCTGGAATCCTTCCCAGCCTGGCGGAGACCGTGTTGGGTGGAGGGCTCCTGCCGGAACACACTCTTGGGGGCCCCTGGGCCCCGGGGGCCTGGGACACAGTGCCTCGCTCTGCAGGGACCTGGAGGCATGGAGACCCCTGCGTCCAGCCCAGCCTGGGAGGGAGAGGCTCCTGGCATGGGGCAGCCCGAGGGAAGGCTAGGCCTCGCCTGCGCCTGCTTCCACGGGGGTGGAAAGGAGCCAGAACTTTCCTACACCAGGAAACACGGGAACAGGGGCCGCCCGCCCCTTGTGAGAGTTCCCCTGAGGCCTCGGCTGTCCTGTTGGGCTCGTCTGGGGAAGACGGGCGGGGACAGTGGGGCCCCTTGTTAGTACAGGGGACCTGAGCCAAGGGCCATCTTGGGATAACTCGCCTGAATGTGGAGGAGCCTTTCGCGGGGACTTAGAGGCGGGAGGCCGGGCTCACGGGGGCAAAGGGGCTTTTCCAGAGGAGACCAGGGAGCTACTGCTCCACTGTCTGGTGGGTGGCCCCCAGCTCTCCTCTTCACGGCCTGCGTGGAGCCATGGCCGCGTCCCCAGGGAAGGGCTGGAGGAGAGGCTGCCCAGGCAGGGGCACCACCCACCCCGGCAGCAGGACTGACTCTTAGAACAACCTGTTTTCCAGTCTACGTGCAGGTGTTTTCCGCCCTGATCGTGATCATCTCCGGGGCCTTCGTCATCACTATCATTTACAGGTCAGTTGTCTCTCCCCGTCCGAACTCACCTGCAGAAGGCGCAGGACACAGGGCGCTGGGGAGAGGGTGGGGGGTCCTCTCAGCGCCTGAGCTCCTGACAGCATCCCTCCCGCCAGCGTTTCAAGAGCACCCGCCCTGTCAGCCCCCTACTTGCCCCCGTTTGCCCGTGAGCGCCCTGCCCGGTGTGTGCTGTCATGGTGCAGACGTGTCCTCGGAGACAAATCTGCCCTCCCCATTTGGTGGGGGGCAGGAGGCCGGGGCCACTGGTGGCTGCCCGCAGGCAGGCCTGGACTCCTTGCTGCCACTCGGGGCCAAGGTCCCCCCCGCAACCAGCCCCCTTGTGACATGGAGAAAAGCCAGTGAGACTAGTCATGTCAGTCTGTCCAGCAGCCAGGAAAACCAGTCCCTCCTCTGGTGCCAGGTGATGTCCTGCATGACCTGCCTGCACCGTCACACCATCCCCGTCCCTGTTCTCGCCCTCCGGAGTCTGGATGCCACACACGATCGTGTGTTTGGAGCGTGTATATGAATCTAACCTGGGAACTGTTAGGGCAAAGCATGACGCTGAACCCTGAGCCCTGTTTTAGGGGGGCGTCCTGGTGGAGGACTGGGAGGCCCGTTCGGTCTTCCATCTTGAATTTCTCTGATGGTGACAGAGTCTTCTCCCACCAGAGTCGTTCAGGAGAGGAGGAGAGAAAAGGAAGTCCCCACGGAACTTCCATCACCCAAATCCGGTGATAACGAGAAACGGGCGCCCTCCGGCAAGAAGCTGCAGTCCAAGGCCAAGGGCGCGGAGCCGCCAAGCAGGAGTGAGGACAGCGAGGAGGAGGAGGAGGAGGAGGAGAGTGGTGAGATGGAGGGCCATCCCCGCACAGGGCACAGCTGTCTGTGCAGGCCATGTCCTGGCCGTGGCTTGGTTTTACTGAGTGGTTGGGAAGCGGAGGGGCAGGGGGAGGAGGCCTCCCGAAGTGTCTTTGAGGATCTGATCGAGGCGTGTCTGAGCTGTGGTCCTTCCCACAGGGCAGGACGTCACCCTCTCGGGGCGCCTTCTGCAGCGCCAAGCCACGAGAAGCCAGGCTCTCCTTGGGTAACAGAGAGGTGGGGCAGCACAGACCACTCACCGAGCTGGTCTTTGAGTAAATTGTTGCCCATCGTATGCCACGGAGACGTGTTTTCAGACCTGATGATCGCCGAGATTTCCACTCAAAAGATCCACTCTCTCTTTATCTTAAATCCAGCAACGCTGACAGTAATGGTAGACGAACTAACTGAGGACTGAGGTGAGCGGTGCAGGCAGAGCAGAGATGGGCAGAACCCCCACCAGGAGATGCCCCGGCTGCGAACAGCTGTTAAGTGTGGAAACAGCATCAGTGAGGAAAAGATAAAGGTATTTTAAATGCTTCTCCTTTCGCGTGTTTGTAGTCAATGCTGTCGTTCTATCTTCGGACAGAGACAACCTGCGAGGTGTGCAGACATTTACTGAAGGCTTCCAGGGCTCAGTGGTGCCGCTTGCTAGCCAGCTCACAGCACCTCGCTGGGCGAGGCCACCACGCCCCTTCTCAGAGGACAGGGTGGGCTTGTCACTCACGGAAGCTGAGGACCTGCCCGATGGTGAGCTGTGAGCTGACAGAACACCACTAGTGGGTGCTAACTGTGGGGCGTGCAGCCCTGGTCTTGGTCTTGGAGAATCTCTGCCTTCTACCTCGGCGACTTGTGTCCTCGGGGCAGGTGTGGCTCATGCATCTGGACATTGCAGCCTTAATGTGTGTGCACACACATGTGTATACATGTGTATGCAGTTAGGCGCAAAATGTGTGCATGTATATATGTATGTGTGCATGTATGTGCACACGTGTATCTATGTATGCTTGTGTGTGCCTGCACATATGTATACTTGTTTGCATACACACGTGCACACACAGGCATGTGCACACATGTGTATGCATTGCGTGCATGTATAATTGTGTGTGCATGTACGTATACATGTGTGTGTGCATGCGTGCACGTATATACGTGTATATATGTACGCTCACGTTGATCACACATTCTGCTTAAAGGGGTGACTGCTCAGCCCCGAGTGTCAGGCAACAGGTCAAGCCCGGGGGACAGGTGGTGAAGTGGGCAGGTGGGCAGGGCCCGGCGTTGTTGGCTCTGGGGGCCCGACGGCGGCTCCGTCCTGGTTCCTGCATTAAGAGCTTCCATGTCAGAGCTGCCGTGGGTCCAAATCCGTCCAGTCCAGTGAGCCTCACACTTACTGGGGAGAGGAAGGAGCAGTGCCCCGAGGCACCTGCACGCCGTACGCGGACAGAGCAGGGGACGCGTGTGCAATTTCGCACTGTCTTGAGAAAGTGGCACGGCTGAGACGAGGTGCCGCCGCACATTGTGCTGCTTCCCAGATGTGCTCGTGCCGTCCTCCCGGCGCCGTCAGGTGGGAACACGAGAGAGGGCAAGCCTCCACGCCCTTTACGAACCTCCCTTCTACAATTTGAGAGCGTCTCAGGCCACACTGGCCCCGTCGTAAGTGGCTGCGTGTGGCTGGGGCTGCGTGCGTCCGCGTCCGGCCCCCCCACCTTGCTCACCGTCCGGGGCAGCGCGTGTCCTCCCGGACGTGAGCCTCCCGGACGTGAGCCTCCCGGACAGCGCTGCGTTGGCCCCGCCTCCCTCCCCTGCGTGGAGCGGACAGTTTGACTCTCGCCCGGGTTGGGAAGGAGCGTTAGCCGGTTGAAGCTGAGAAGAGGGTCCATTTGTGGGAATAAATGGCTGCTTACATTTTCACCTCCTTCTTAAATTCTATTACAGAAAACTTGAAACATTCAGAAAAGTGGAAATAAGCCATTCGTGTCCCCATGACCACAAATGACCACAGTTAGTACTTGATCCCAGATGCTGTCTTCTCCACATTTCTTCTCTAACCACACAGATTTTGTGACCATAGTAGACACTGGTCTTTGGTACTGTGATGGTTTATTTTATGTGTCAACCTGACTGGGACACAAGGTGCCCAGATATTTACTCGAACATAATTCTCGATGTGTCTGTGAAGATATTTCTGGATGAGATTGACATTTGAATCAAGCAGACTGAGGAAAGCAGACGGCTCTCCGTAGTGTGGGTGGGTCTCATCCAATCAGTTGAAGGCTGATTGTCCTCTGAGGAAGAGGGAATTCCTCCTGCCTGATTGCCTTTGAACTGAGACTTTTTTTCCTGACTTTGATCTGAACGGAAAGATGAGCTTTCCTGAGTCTTGAGCCTGCCTGACTTCAGGTCGGAAATCAGAGCATTGGCTCTCCTCGTGTGCAGGTTGCTGACTGCACACCTGGGGACCTGCACACCTGTCCGTAACTGCATGAGCCAGTTCTTTAGAATCAACCCCCTGCTGGCTCTGCTTCTCTGGGAAACCCTGACCAGTACCCCCCAGTGTGATGAAGAAGGTGGCCTCAGCCCCAGGCGAGGTCTGGTCTCTGTCCCTGGTGCCCGGGGGTTTCCCAAGGACTGGAAATGTCTCTGGGACTCGGGGAGGCCCCTAGACAGTTGCTGCTAACACGGTGACTCGGGCCATCGGCTGTCAGCCCGACCCCTTGGAGAGAAGACGGTGGGAGCTTGAGTTCAGCCACACTCAGTGCATCGATCGTGTCTACATAATGAAGCCCCAGGAATAATCAGCGCCCCCGGCTGCCTACCCACGTGGCTGTGCCAGGAGGGTGGCACGTCCTGAGGGCACAGAAGCGGCACCTGTGGGACCCTCCTCCTCATCCTGTGCGTCAATTCCTTTGGCTGTTTGTATCTGTATCCTCTGTTATAATGAAACTCGAATCCTAAGTACAGATCCTCCCTGAGTTCTGTGGGTCGTTCTGGCAAACTGTGGTACACAAGGTGGTCGTGAAGACCTGCCAGCTTTGCAGCCAGCTGCGTGCGGTGGTGCGGGGGCCCCGGGCCCAGGCTGGCTCTGGATGACGGCAGTCTTGTGGGAATGGGTCCCCCTGGATTGTGCAGTGTGGCTAAACTGCCTGGTGCCCTCTTCCTCACTGCTTGATTTGCCCCCTGCCCTGCCCCCACCCCTGGCTGCCTGCGCTGGGGGAGATGAGACCCCACGTTCTCTTTGCCCTCATCATCCTAGGAGGGGACGGGCCAGGGAGGGTCACATCAGGCTTGTCAGTGACCAGAAGGATGAAGAGACCTCACCAGGTCATCAGAAGGTCAGGGAGGCCCATCTGGTCTCGGGGGAGTGGAGGCCGGGCCGTCTGGGCCTGAAGGAAGCCATGCAGTCCTGGCCAGGAGCATCCTGTCTGAAATGCTCATGTGTTTCCTGTTCACGCTGCCCTGCGGGACCGTTGTGTTTCTGGCCGTGTATGACGGGCATGCCGCGAACCTCCCCGCATGGAGATGCAAACCCTCCTCGACCGGCCCGTGTGCTACCTGACAGATTATGGAATAATTCTCATTGTCCTCACTTCTCTGAGAATAAAAACACTTTATTCTGAAAGTAAGGTGGCATACGCTATCATCTGATCTTTTGATGAAGGAAAGAAAAGCTGATTTATTTTTAGATCATGAACTTGCCGTTAAGTCTTAATTTGGATCCTGTGTGTTTAACTGGCTGGTACGGTTTGGCGCATCCCCCATTCTGCGTGTGTTGGTGTGTCACCCGCAGGACATGGCACTTCCAGGGGCCGGTCCATAGAGGCTGCCGACAATCGTTCACAAAGAAGAACAAGTACGAGCTTAGTCTTGGCTCACAGTTCTCTCTTCCCTTCCAGGACGACCTGCAGTCTGTCTCTTTGTGCTTCTTTCTAGGTTGCAAGTAAACAGACTTAAAAAAATTTTTTTTAATGTTTATTTATCTTTGAGAGAGAGAGAGACAGAGCATGACTGGGGAGGGACAGAGAGAGAGGGAGACACAGAATCTGAAGCAGCTCCAGGTTCTGAGCTGTCAGCACAGAGCCCGATGCGGGGCTCAAACTCATGACCCAAGAGATCGTAACCTGGACCGATGTCGGACTCTCAACCGACTGAACCACCCAGGCACCCCACAAGTAAATAGATTTTAAAAATGAACCAGACTGATTTTAGAAAGGTAGGTACTTAGAATAAATTCCTGCAAAGTCGCTCTGCTGTGAGGGCTTGTCCTTCCTGGAGTGCAGCTAGTGGTAGAATGAGAACATCTACATCTTCATGTCTACGCACATCTCTGCGAGCGGGAGGAGCCTCTGGAGCAATTGGCAAGGGACTGGGGCAGGGGGTGGGTCCTGGGGATGCTGGGTGTGGAACGCAGTGTGGGACCTTGGTGGCCTGTAGGCGGGGTGGGCGGGGACAATGTGGGGCCAGAGGTGGGGCCGGCCCAGAGCCTCAGCCTGCCTGAGAGCAGCACGGAATCGGTCCTTCGTGCTGAGCCGGAAACCAGCTTCCCCCAAGCATCTGCCGGGTGCGGTCTGTGAAACAGCGCATCCAGGTACACGGGGGGGGGGCGGGGGGGGCAGCGAAACTGCCGCAGTCCTCGGAGGAAGCACCGTCGCAGCTGGGAGAGCAGACGGGCAAGTGGCAGAAAGCCAGCTCCCAAGATGCCCGCGCCCTGATCCCCAGAGCCCGTGCGCGTGTGAGTCACTTCAGGGATGCGGCGCTCTCGGGGTCCTGGGGGCGGCCTGGCTGGGACTCTGGGTCCTGAGAAGCTGAGTCACTCAGGGTCCTGGAGCAGCCCGGCCAGCGCCCCGGGTCCTGAGAAGCTGCGTCATGGTGCCGAGCGGAGCTGGTGCCGCGGGAGGCCTGAAGGCCGAGGGGCCACTCACTGTGAGCGGGGCAGCTGATGTGCTGCTGGTTCCAGCCGGATCAGCACCCCAGGAGCGTGTTCGGACCGCACCGCCCGTGCGCACGGCAGCCCCTTTATCAGGACGTCCCTCACGGTCAGGAGCAGGTGGGTAGAGGCAGGTAGGCGGCTCTGGGCGCCCACGAGGCAAGTGCTCGCGGGCTCAAGGTGAGAACAGCACAAGTGCAGGCTTCCTCTTGTCCTTCAACCTTGGGGGTGTGGGTGTAGACAAGACAGTCAACTGGATTAAGCAGGCTTGTAGTTTAGCCAATCGAGCATGCGGAGAGGGGAGGGGAGAAGGGTTAAGGATGTCTAGAGGGAAGTTCTAGCACGAGCACCTTGGAAAGTAAGCTGGGTGAAGAGAGGGGACACAGAGGTGGGGTTGGGAGAAGTGAGGGGTCAGCTCGAAAGGGAGAGGTGGGGGCCAGGTGTGCGAAGCAGAGGTGACTGGTTTTGGCAGGGTCAAGAACAAGACTGTGGTCCTGGCTTCCTGGGTGGGTTTAGGCTAGAAACAGGCTTCCCATAGTGCAGGGTCTTCCCGGCGGCTCCATGAGATCGGCCCACGGGACGGCCCCACTTAAGTATCACGCAGCCCATTGTGTC